CAAATCTATGTATCACTCAAGACAATTAGACATTTATCCAATACCCCTTACTTCAAATTAAGGGTAGGTGGTCTCTTTACAATGACAGCCTACTTAAACTATCTCGGCTAATACTGAATATTGAATAAATAAACAAATTTACTTCCCTTCACTAAAAATTAGTTTACATAAACACTTATTTCATTACTTCATAATGAGACAATTCAGTATTAACCACTTTTTTTCCAGCTTCAATTAACAGACTGAAAAATTACTGATATACTGTCTATTCGTTATACTTCACTTATGAACACCATATTACTTTCTAACTTCAATTATCATCAGAAATTGAGAAAAGACATACAGGAATGAAGCTTACTTAGAACTGACGAGAAAAACTAAAGATTACAACGAATAAATATTTTCAGAATAAGGATTTGTGAAAATTTTAGTCGATTTAAGCTAGACCACCATAGAAAACCTGAAAGCACTTCGTGGTCGTTCCGCCCTAGTACGGGACTCCTCAACAATGAGTATCCACGATCCCGTTAGGCGGATTCAAACCTAGGGCCTTCGGTTTCACGTGTGAACGCTTAACGTCGAGAACAATAAATATTTTAAACTTTTAGTTTTCCTACTAGTAATTAGCTTGATATATTCGACAGAATTTTTTAATGATGATAAATCAAAAGAACTCTCTGTCGATTACCTCTAAACAACTGACTTATAAATGCTAAACGATTCATAACATTATGCCTCTTCAATTATCATTAAGACTAGTAAATGTCTCTATACAATCCGAAAGAATATAGATTTTATTTGATCGCCAGACTTTAGTATCCTTCTCTTAACCGCTTGTGTTATCAATAAATCAATCCATGAAATTGGTTTAAGTTAGACATTACCGACGTTGGATACCGGCTCAGTTGTTTAGAAGCTAAGTGTTCGCACGTGAGACCGGATGTCCTGGGTTCCCTTCCTGAGAGTGGGATCGTGGATGCGCACTGCTAAGGAGTCCCATACTAGGACAAAACGACTATCTAATGCTTCCAGGTTTTCCATGGTGGTCTAGCTTTAATCGACACGTAAATTCAAGTATTAAAGAAATCATTTGTCTTGCCCAAAGTATTTACATCTGAATGATTTAAATCTTCAGCGAATAAATTCATTATACTTAACAATTATGACTTAACGTTTGCAAATTGTATTCGATCCAACAATTGACCTCATTATTTATTGAATATTTTCCTAAAAAAATTGGTAAACAAAATGTTTACCTTGGATACTAAGGTGTATATTGAGACATTTATTCAATTGTGTTTTATTGTATACCCCAAAACATCTATATTGCTACCACTCTACAGTTATCGATTGTCGGATATATAGAAATCTAGTGATGCAAGTTTTATATTAAGTATAGAAATCAAAGATCATTCATTGACCTAAAAGTACCTTAAATGTCCATGTAAAAAGATTAAACTTTTAATGTTTGATCTATTATCGTTATGGAATGTTCAGAGATATTGATTAACAAAGGTTCTGACTGGTACGAAATATTCTAACGAGAACGCTTAACCTCTAGACCACTGAGCCGTTGTCCGACGTGTTAATGTCTAACTTCAAACGATTCACTAATTGATCTCGTGCGCGAGATCGATGAGTCCTGAGTTCGAATCCCGCGAATGGGATCATGGATGAGCTCTGCTGAGGAGTCCCATAGTAGGATGAAACGACCCTCCAGTGCTTTAAGGTTTTCCATGGTGGTCTAGCTTCAATTAACTCACGAATTCAACTATTAACTTACTAAAATCTCCACAAAACCGTCTTCTGATAGAAATAGAATCGTTTGTCCATGAAAACTTTAAAATAGAACAACATTCATAATATCAGATAAAATTAATTACTTATCAATGTTATTTGTTTTTAATATTAAGATACGACGAAGATGTACCTTGGTATCTCATGAAACAGAAATAATATTAACCGATCAGTACCTTCGAATAAATTTGAAAATCCACTTCATTTGGATTGGCGGTTAATAGATTAAATAACACCAACTGGAGCCCCTCTGGGGCTACTGCCGGTCCTAAGCCAGGATGAAAGAGGAGGACTGGGTAAGGAGTTACCAACCCCATCCCGTAGAAAACTAACTACCTAAAAAACACTAACCAGAAAAAATTTAATAGATTAAATATTCAGGTTCTTACTAATTCCAACATCATTTTCGAAATTTTAGATATTTCAAGTATTTCATGTTGATGAGCGTCACCAAGCGAAAACGGTAGGTTCATAACTTTCTATCTGTCACCTCCAAACAGTCATACACTGATCATCACATTACAACCTGACTGATATTATCCAATCTTAACTAACGAATATAAGCATTGCGTGGCTGATTATTAGTATAAGTTAAGGATTACAACGTAGAAATGTTCAGTAAAAAATACACAACTAACCTCATATTGTAATGCATTTGTCATTCATCACGAAATGACATCAGCTCAAATACCAAGACGCTATTTAGCCAAATAGAAATCCAAGACCTGTTACCATAAATTTGATTGTTTCATTCAAAAATTTTAGTCTCGCCGGTTTTTATTGTGTCAAAGAATAAACCCAAGTAAAGATAAACTAATCATAGATTTCTCGTTATGATGCTTTGTGCTTTCCATAAATACTTGAATGTTTTTATTTATTTAAACACATGAACATTGGTACAAGAAAGCACCAAATAGATGTACACCACATAAATCATTCGATTTATGGGAGGGTTGTGATACTGCCAGGGTGCCCAAACTGAGACAGGTGCTTTTCTTAGGGGGCCTTGCCCAGAGCATTCGACCTACAAGTCTAATCCACAAGGCAGTGGAGCAACGTAAGGCGATGCAATTCCATCAAAGCCGGTGATCAACAATTAATTCATATGCCATTTGTTCCTTCAGGATCCTGGAGCCCACGTGCACTTATGGTTTGCAATCAGGGTTTCCCAACTCCCCTAGGTGGATGTTCCGTGTCCATCAACCCGGTTAAAGAGCCGAACATTCACTTTTCGTTCTCTTAATTTCGTAAACAACACCCCCGCCACGAGAAGGCACTGAGTAGGACTTCCCTGGCAGAGGCTATATATGCGTGGCCATGTGAGAGCATTTCGAGAGGGAGAGTTAACTCTCCACACTCTCAGCCATTTGGGAGCACGTATACTAGATAATCTACTTAGATAAAATAACCAATTAAAACAAGTACAAAACTGGAATAGTTCATATCATGTTAAAGCAGTTGAAAACAAAAAGAAGAAATAGACAACTTTTATTCAAAAGAGATTTACAATCCAAACTGATCTATTCATAATATAATATGTAAAAAAGAAAACAATTCTGCCTGGAGCCCCTCTGAAGCTACTGCTAATCCCAAGCCCGAATAAAGGAGGAGGGTCGAGTGTACGGTTAGCGACCCAATCCGGTAAAAAAACGAACTCGATAAAAAACGCTAACCAGAAATAGATTAATTCAAAAAAGAAAACCACTAGTCGGATAAATCTTAAATTCAGTTTACTAAATAGCACTATACATTTTAAAAGAACTTCCTATTTAAGTAGTATCTAATGTTCTGTAGGAATCGTAATTGTGCAATTGTACAATAAATGACAATTTTGACATTTTTTAAAAATCCTACAAGACAATAAGATGAATATTGGTAACAATTAGCACACATTTATTGATTATAGTGTAGTTGTGAACTTGGCAAAAATTTAGAATAAAACATGATGTATTCATTACTTAGTCTTAGTTTGTTGTTTTTCTTAGGTTTTAATAATCAAACTGTAATAGCATGTTGTCATGCTACTGATATCGATAGATATAAGTAGTATATATATCATCAATCGAAAATGAAATAACTAGAGGTAGATGGTTAAGAAGATCGAAGAAAAGAGAATGAGAATAGAGAGTAGATTGGTGAGGAATAGAAGAATCAGTAAAGCTTGAGACGATGGATTGATAGTTCGCAATTGAAGTATTGACTGTATGGTTTTCAGATTCTATTAAGATGTTCTGTAATTCTGTATTTGAATATATTCGATTATCCCCACTGATGTTCTCGTTCACTACAGTAGTATGAGAATCGATCAATTAAAAAATTATATTTATGACATGTTATGTTCGTTACTTGAATAACGCAGAATATAATATAAAACTATGGCACTGGAACCTATAGAACCCCCATAGTCGCAAATCAAAAGACAGAAAACTGGAGAACTGTTTGTTGGGTAAGAATCAGAATGTTCAGAAAATCATGGATATTTATAGACATTAACGTTTGTTATATCAACATTATAATTCAGCCAATCTGCAGAGAGGTATATTTTTCTACTGTCCAATCGTAGCATATCACGTTGATATTCTAGAGAGCTCTATCACGTTCTGATTGGATGGAAACTCTTTGGCTCCTTAAGATCCTCTGAAGTTTCCGGAAGTATATATTTTCTTTTTACACATGGTATATATGTTATTTATTTGGTAAATTAATAATAAGAACGGTAGAAAATTGTTTTGTAACTAAATAGACTTCGATTGGGTTATGAATAAGATGATAAGTTGTTAATAACATTAAGTACTCTTTCATTTATCTTACTAGATTACTGTACATCATCATAAAGCGGTATAGTCCGATTAAGTTACTTGAATGTTAGATACTTATCTCTACATTTGAAGGTTCTAGATTCAGCCGATTTAATGGTTGAGATCATGAGTCGATTGAAGTTTGACCATCATGCAAAACCTCGGAGCACTGGATGGCCGGATAGCCCTATTAGGGGACTACTCAACAGTGCACATCTTTGAGTCCGCATCGCCAGATTCAAACACAGCATACATCGGTCTCCTTCGTTAACCTTTTACCTCTGGACCACTGAGCCGGCTGGCATCCAACACTGTTAATGTCTAAATTCAACTAATCCACAAAATTGAGTGACACATCCACTAATGTTTTCATTGAGTTACTGACTCGCAACAGACCCGGTTGAACTCCACTGATCACTGATTCTCACTAGAACTCTAGTAAATACCTCATGAAGCCAGTCAATCGCTTTAGTAAGTTTGTTGGTAATGAACTGTAAACCAGCAATATGACTAATATGTAATCCTTCTTGGATTTTAATGGTTTTACAACTGACTTCAATTCATTGAAATAAAGATGTAGATCATTCACTGATTAACATTTCCTGAAACATTGAAGACTAGAAACTATGGGAACGTCCTTATCTCAGTATATTGTCGGGAGAGTATATATTATAGAGATGAACTGTAACAGTTCTAAAAATATCAACGTGTAAATAGCTAATCAAAAATCGGTTAGTGAATAGAATAAAGAAAAAAAAGCAGTCATATTACGAATTCTGAAGTCTTCAACAGAGGTTTCTCTCAATAATTCAAAGAAAACATCTATGTACTAGTTCGTTCATATTTCTACAGAACATGCATCTTTTGAAAGATCGTAAGTCCATTTAGGAGACCACATATTTCTTTTATGTTTAGTGTTCAAAGTTGAATCATTAAGGTTAGGTTTCTAGTTAACTTGCATATTATATAGAATCTTGATATAGGAGTGTCAATCAGAAGTAGCCGAATGAGAAGGTCAATCAATGGTAATAAGATGTGACCTAAAGAACAAAAGCATTTCATTGACTAAGAAATGGATCAGTTTCTTAAGGATTAGAGTGGTATATATATGTGAATGAGTATTTTTACATTTTATTCAGTAGTCCAATACATTTCCTCGCTCACTCCTGTGTTCATGCTCAAGTATTTAGTTGTAAGGAAGTTAGCGTATAGCACACCGTGTATCTATATCAGATTTTGGACACTGCACGTCACAACAACTCTACACATAAAGAAATTTAACCTCTAGACCACTAAACCGGTATCCAACGGTGTTGATTTATAACTTTAATCAGTCCACGATTAATTTGCTTCTCAACTGACAGCTTGTTTATTTTCTGCCACAGTAGGTTATTGTTGACGGACTAAGGTCAATAAATCTAGAGCATCTTGAGTAGGAAAAAGTTTATAAATACCTATGTGCTTTTGGTAATGGTTGTAGTAGTTTCAGCTCCTTATATTAGGGCTGTTTTAACGTTAGTCCTGTAAATCTTGACTTTGGTCTTCAGTAGCCATTTCTTCGAGTTTCAATTATCCTTAATTTGTAGGAATGCGACTCTCACTTTCCTGATTTATGAGTTGAAAACTGCACAAGATCCTTCTTCTTTATCAGTGATGGAGACTATGTATGTAAAGGCTTCGATTTGTTTCAGAGCTTCATCATCAAGTGTGATTTGGTTAGAACCCTCTCTTTTAAACTTCGGAATCTTGCTTTTCTTCAGCGAATCCGGAGGGCTACTGTCGATACTTTAGGAGTCTTCTTCTGCATTTGCTGTTCTGTATGAGATAGAAAGGCTAAATCATCTACGAAATTCAAACCATCCAGTCATTTCATATATATTCAAAATATCCAATACTTTATCTCCTTCTTTACCCAGATATGAGATTGCCATCAACCTCAGAGGGTATTCAGGTCTAATTGGTATTCTTATTGATGTCTATTAAAAAATTTAACTCAAACTCTAGATGGGTCAAAAGGACAGCTATCCAATCAAATTTGTCAAAATATATCAGCCAAATGCCTCACCAGAAACAAAATCAAGTACAGAAACCAACAAATGGATCATTCTACAATGTATAATAGGCACATCATGAACTACAACGAGATTGTTTAAGCCTTTCAAAGTAGGTGTAACACACCAACAAACAAAACCACTGCAACCAATCCTATGCAAACCAAGGGATGAAATAGCAAAAGAAGGAAAACTGAACATCATCTACAAAATAAATTGTTCCAACTGAGTTAAACACTTCATCGGACAAAGTGAACACCCTCTTCATCTTCGCCTTCATAAACATCAACTAGCGGTCAAACGCTAAGACATATGCTTGCTTACATCAATGAATGTGGACAACTGTGGACACACATTCGACTGGAAAATTGATGAGATTTTGAATAGAGGCAATTCTAAAAACAGCAAAGTGTTTATAGAAGCTTGGCACTCAGATCAATCAGCAATCAACAAACACATTGAGATCGATCCAATTTATCAACCAATCAGAAAAATTATGGACAAATATAGGACCAAGAATCAAACAAATGGGACTTACTTACTTACTTACGCCTGTTACTCCCAATGGAGCATAGGCCGCTGACCAGCATTCTCCAACCCACTCTGTCCTGGGCCTTCTTTTCTAGTTCCATCCAATTCTTGTTCATTTTTCTCATGTCTATCTCCAGTTCTCGGCGTAATGTGTTCTTTGGTCTTCCTCTTTTCCGTTGACCTTCAGGATTCCATGTGAGAGCTTGTCTTGTGACGCAGTTCGGTGCTTTCCTCAATGTGTGTCCTATCCACTTCCAGCGCTTCTTCCTGATTTCTTCCTCCACTGGGATCTGGTTTGTTCTCTTCCACAGTACGTTGTTGCTAATAGTGTCCGGCCAATGGATTTGAAGTATTTTGCGTAGACAACTGTTAATAAACACCTGTATTTTCTGGATGATGGCTTTTGTAGTTCTCCAGGTTTCTGCCCCATACAGTAGAACTGTCTTGACATTTGTATTGAAAATCCTGACCTTGGTGTTGGTTGACAGTTGCTTTGAGCTCCAGATGTTCTTCAGTTGTAAATATGCTGCTCTTGCTTTGCCGATCCGCGCCTTCACATCTGCATCAGATCCACCCTGTTCATCAATGATGCTGCCCAAATATGTAAAGGTTTTTACATCTTCCAAATCTTCTCTGTCAATTGTGATTGGATTGGTGCATGCTGTGTTGTATCGGAGAATCCTGCTTTTCCCTTTGTGTATGTTGAGACCTACTGCTGCTGAGGCTGCTGCCACGCTGTTTGTCTTCTCCTGCATCTGTTGTTGCGTGTGGGATAGAAGGGCCAGATCGTCTGCGAAGTCTAGATCATCCAACTGCATCTTAGATGTCCATTGTATCCCGCGCTTTCCTTCAGACGTTGACGTCTTCATGATCCAGTCGATCACCAGGAGAAAGAGAAACGGTGAAAGTAAGCAACCTTGCCTAACACCGGTCTTCACTTCGAACGACTTTGTCAACTGTCCTCCATGCACAATTTTGCAGTGTAATCCATCATATGAGTTCTGTATGATATTGACTATCTTCTGAGGCACGCCGTAGTGTCGAAGAAGTTTCCATAGTGTTGTTCTGTCCACGCTGTCAAATGCCTTTTCGTAGTCAATGAAGTTGATGTAGAGTGATGAATTCCATTCAATTGATTGTTCCACAATGATCCGTAGAGTTGCGATTTGGTCTGTACACGATCTATCCTTACGGAATCCTGCCTGTTGGTCTCGAAGTTGGGCGTCTACGCAGTCCTTCATCCTGTTTAACAATACCCTGTTGAAGACTTTTCCCGGTATTGAGAGAAGAGTGATGCCCCTGTAGTTATCACACTTGCTGAGATCGCCTTTCTTCGGTATTTTGATCAGAAGTCCTTCTTTCCAGTCTGTTGGTACTTGTTCCTCATCCCAAATCTTATTGAAGAGAATGTGGAGTATCCTTGTAGTTGCCGCTACGTCTGCTTTTAGTGCCTCTGCCGGGATGTTGTCCGGTCCTGCTGCTTTGCCACTCTTGATTTGCCTGATGGCCATGCTGATTTCTTCAATTGTTGGTGAGCCAACATTGATTGGGAGGTCCGTGGGTGCTGCTTCGATGTTGGGTGGGTTCAGTGGCGCTGGTCGATTCAAGAGTTCTTTGAAGTGTTCTATCCACCTGTTTTGTTGCTCTTCAATGTGGGTGATTACCTTGCCTTCCTTGCTTTTCACTGGTCGTTCTGGTTTGCGGCGATTTCCAGAGAGCTTCTTTGTCGTGTCATACAATTGTCTCATGTTTCCTTCTCTTAAAGCCTTTTCCGCCGTCGTTGCTAAATCTTCCACATATTTACGTTTGTCGGTTCTGATGCTCCTTTTCACTTGTTTGTTTATTTCCGTGTATTCAGCTTGTGCCTTAGCTTTTTCTGCTCTTGTTCGGCTGGTATTGATCGCTGCCTTCTTGTTTCTTCTTTCTTGAATCTTATCCAGTGTATCAACAGTGATCCATTCCTTGTGGTGGTGCTTCTTGTGACCCAGGACCTCATGACATGTTGAAGTGATTGCCTCTTTGATCCCCTTCCAGTTGCTCTCCACAGTAGTTCCTTCTCCATCGAGCAGATCATGAAAGGCCTGGAACTTGTTGCTGAGGACTATCTTGAATTTGTTGAGTTTGTTAGTATCCTGAAGAAAGGCCGTATTGAACTTTTGTGATACTGTCTGCCCCGTTGTCCAGTGCTTCTTGAGTTTCAATTTCATCTTGGCGACCAGTAAGTGATGATCTGATGCTATATCAGCTCCTCTCTTGGTTCTCACGTCCTCTATAGTCCTCCTGAACGTTTTGTTGATGCAAATATGGTCGATTTGGTTTTGTGTAGAGTGATCCGGTGAAGTCCATGTGGTTTTGTGTATGCGTTTATGTGGGAATACGGTGCCGCCTATGACCAGCTTATTGAAGGCACATAGATTTGCAAATCTCTCACCATTTTCGCTTCTTTCTCCCAGTCCGTGTCGTCCCATGATGTCTTCATATTCAGTGTTGTCCGTTCCAACCTTGGCGTTGAAATCTCCCATCAGAATGGTCAGGTCCTTTGTTGGGCACTTCTCGACGATTGACTGCAGCCTATTGTAGAATTGATCTTTAGCGTCTTCATTGTAGTCGTTGGTAGGCGCATAGCATTGGATGATGTTCATTGAAATGCCCTCTTTCTTTGTTTTGAAGGAGGCTTTGATGATCCTTGGTCCATGAGATTCCCATCCTATAAGTGCATTTTGTGCTTGTTTGGACAGCATCAATGCAACTCCTTGTGTATGTGGTGCATTTTCTTCTTCATGGCCGGAGTATAACAGGAGCTCTCCTGTAGTTAGTCGTTGTTGTCCAACTTGTGTCCAATGTGTTTCACTGATCCCAAGTACCTCTAGGTTGTATCTTCTCATTTCTGCAGCAATTTGGAAGGAGATATAAGCGAAATAAAGAAATAAACAATGACACGTTAATGGTCAACAAGAACCAATCAACATTGAGTTCTACAGGACAAGCTGTGAGCCATATCTGATGGAATTAGAACATTCCATTTCTACTTGAAGTTTCTGCTGATGATACTGTTCAGAATGACGATATGTTGTTTTAGCTTCAATTGGCTCATGATCTCAACCATTAAAATTATTATCCACAAATTCCCTTCCGATATTATTGAGATATTACAAATATATTATGTTTTTCTATCACAGTCGAATTGTTTCTGTATTAGTTATCATTCATTATCATTCTCATTAAAATATTAAGAAATATCTAGTTCAGTAAAGGGATCTCTATTCAAGGAATTCATTGTCAAACTATACAACCGTATATATCATATCAGCGTATGATAGGATTATAAATTTAACGAGTAGAGAGTGGGTGTACAACTCTGGCTTTTTATCCTTATTGGAATATATTAGAGTTTCAGAACTTTTCTACCAGTAGTTTATTCATTTTGTATCTGTTTGATGTTCATTTGTGATCCCAATTCAAAAACATGACTGATAATGTTTATATGTTCCCAGATTAGTATCTACTTGATATGATTTCTTAGTAAATATTATGAATAATTCAGTATGTGAATTCTGTTCTGATTAGGTGTTCTTTCCATAATGAGAAGTTCTCATTTATGAGTAAGGTACTTGTCATCATCGAGGAAATCCTACAGCTGATAGCCTACTATTCATGTGCTTGATCACTCACTGTTGACTGATACCTGTTCATTAAAATAAATCCACAAACAAACGCTAATATGGAGTACATTTTGTTATGAAATTATCATAAACTGGGTGAAATAGCAGTCTGGTTTGTTCCAGTTTGTTATTCTTTAATAGCATATATTACTAACCATAAGCACTGGAATAAGTGGGGATTATTCAGGTCTTGCGGTAAACCCCCTTACATGAAACACATTTCCAACTTCAGACATCACGCAATATTATACTGGTATCGGCATTTCTCACTTATCCTACATAGTTAACTAATGACCGCCAAGCTATTTCACTTGAACATTGTGAATTCTTCTACAAATCAATTTCTAGCGTACAACTCTATATTATTTGGATGAGCAATTTGTAGAACTAATCCATTTCCTGGTAATGCTTAACATCAAGAACTAACTTCATCTAGACGTTTATAGGGAATCAGAAAGAATTAAGGAAATCTTTTGCTATCCAAGCATTGTACTCTATAGTATTACTTAACCGCGACTCTAGAAGACTATGTGGTCAGTCATTAGATCTACAATTCATTTGCAATATATTGCCCAGTTCAACGTTGTGAAGATTATTTTATGAAAATTTATTTAGCAGGTTCCATATTAGGAAGAAACTGCTTTCCAGTCCTTTTTGTTTCTAGTGGTACACCAATGGATCTCCAATTGTGATGAATATCACATACAAATATTAAGCATGTTAAATATACTGTTTATAATTATTTAAGTTTGTCATATGAAATCACTCAATTCATTGATTAGAGCCATTACACTTTCACTTTGAGTTTCCCCATAGTAGTTTTGATTTTCTTATGGGATTGAGCGGGTTTATTATCAAAAAATGATTCTATTAAGATCGTTAGTTATAAATCCAATGTAGCAGCAGCCTCAGCAGCAGTAGGTCTCAACATACACAAAGAAGGAAGTAAGATTCTCTGATACAACTCAGCATGCACTAATCGAAGGCGCGAATCGGAGAAGTAAGAGCAGCATATTAACAACTGAAGAACATCTTGAACTCAAAACAACTGTCTGCAAGTCAAAACCAAAATCAGAATTTTCAACACAAATGTCAAAACAGTTCTACTGTATGAGGCGGAAACTTGAAGAACTACGAAACCCATCATCCAGAAGATACAAGTGTTTATTAACAGTTTTCTAAACAAAATATTTCGGATTCGTTGGCCAGATACTATCAGTAACAACCTATTGTGGGAGAGAACAAACCAGATTCCACAGGTGGAAGAGATGAAGAGGAAGTGCTGTAAAAGGATAGGATACAAATTGAGGAAAGCGCCTAACTGCATCACAAGGCAAGTCCTTACTTGAAATCCTCAAGGCCAAATAAAGGCGAAGAGGAAGACCAAAGAATAACACATTACTTCGAGAAACGGAAACAGACATGAGAAGAATGAACAAGAATTGGACATAACTATAAAGGAAGGCAGAGGAAAGAGTTTGTTGGAGAATGCTAGTTGGTGGCCTACGTTCCATTAGGGGTAACATGAGTAAGTAAGTTATGAATTGAACTAAACAAATGTCTAGTCGTATTATGTTTGAACAGCTACCATATTTTATTCCTGACATACAAATAAAAATCATGTACGAACTTACTAAAATCAAATGAGAATAATAGATTTTTCATGAACGTTCACAAGGATAGAAATAGAAATAGCACAAATGATCTGTTTCATTCCTAAAGCATTTTTGAAGCTAATGTGATGTGAGCTACTTATATCCATATAAGTAGTTTATAACGATCGTCAGGAATAGAATTTATTTCAAGAAATCGTGAGCTCAAAAACGGGAACAGAAAGCAATTAGTATGAAAATGTAGGAAAAATGAAATTTGCAGAAGGAACAGTCAAATTTGAGACAATTGATTGATATTTTGCAAATTAACTACTTACTGTGTGGTTCTCAGATGTTCTGTAATTTCGTGGTCACAGACAGCTGATTCTTCAGCTATTCCATGAAACGACTAAAGTTTTAATGTAAACGAATTTCATTGTATGGAAGTTACATGTTAAAGGAGTTCGTAACGGAAACTGTGTCTTTGTTTTATTAATATATGACAATGACTATCCCGATTTTAGTTAAAACTATGTGTTGATTGCACAATTTTTTTTAAATATTTTTTTCATACCTAGTACTTACAGATTTATACTGTCGTATAGATTCAGATTGTTCTTATATTCACGGCAGTATATGTCATCCAGGAGTTGGTGCATGCGTTTGTCCTAGTGGTTATGAATTTGTATTTCAACATTTTTCCTGTTGTAAGTTTTGATTGTGAATTTGATATAGAAAAGAGTGTTTTTAACGAATTGATAACCTACTTATTTAAACTTATAAACATTGGTACAAGGAGGCACCAAATAGATATGCGTCATATAAATCATTCGACTTGTCTGAGGGCTAAGATACTGCCCGAGTGCCCAAACCGAATCAGAAGGTTTTCTTAGGGGGTCACATCTGTAGCCTTTGACCTGAAGGTCTAATCCACAAGGCAATGGAGCAACATCAAGAGATGCAGTTCCATGGTAACCGATGACCAACGATTGGATCGTACACCATTTGTTCCATCAGGACCCTGGAGACCACGTACACCAGTGGTTTTGAATCTGGGTTTTCCAACTCCCCTAGGTCGACCCTCCATATCCACCAACCCGGTGAAAGCGCCAGATATTCGCTTTTTGCCTCTCAATCTCGTAAACAACACCAAGAAGGCAGCGAGTAGGACTTTCCTGGTAGTGGTTGTATGCACGGGGCCATGTGAAAGTATTTCGAGAGGGAGGGCTGACTTTCCTCACTCTCGGCCGTACCAGGGCATTTAGGGGCGAGCTAACCCAACTTTAGTAGTAAATGATTGATATGTTGTTCTATTGGATCAGACTGTTATCGAATTATTGGTCTTTAATGTGATTAATGATGGATGAATAAGCGTACATAAATAAAATTGTGTACAGTAATAATCTGAGTTAATTTCAATCTTATTCAGTAACCTCTATCATTTCTATAAATATCCATACTTATCCGGTCGAACAAATGAAATGTTGTGTCTATTTGAGAACCTAGGCAGTCATATCATTATCAGCCTTGTAAAGTCTCAACTTCTAATTCCACAAGTTTTGCCTTTCTTTTGTGGAGTCAGATTGGGAGCTCTGTATATGTATATATCTATGTGGCAGGTAAATAACGATAGAAAAATCTTTAATAAAAATGCACTTGTTATTGTTTGTTTGAACCTTCCCATAGATGTTTAAGGACTGTAATTGATCAGTCTCTTATTGGCATATATACATACTGTGTGTATTGCCTCGATATAGCCATAATTCACAAGCATTCTAAGCAAAGATGGATACGCACTGTATGCATATATGCTTATATGAGACTGATCAATTGGAGCCCTAATACAGCAATGGGTAGATTCAAGTAAACAATGCCGAGTGAATTTAATCTTCACCCCATTGCACAAGCAAGTGGCAATGAGGACTCAGTAGCTAAGTGGATAACACGATGGCGTTTGAAGCGAATGGTGCTGAGTTTGAGTCCCAGAGTAAACATCAACTCTGAGATGCAGTAGATCCAACTGACGAGTCACCAATAGGATGAAACGCGCGTCCTGGATTCAAACTACAAAATTACTTTTTATTTATTGTGACTTCCGATTGCTTCGAAATGTATATGGTGATATAAACCAGGCATTGCTCTCTAGTTTTCCATTGGTTAATGAAATATTATATTCTAAGGGTGACAACCACATGTTATAGACTGGTATATTAAGTGTTCAAACAGCGAGACTATAATTTATGGACGAACCAATCAGGTATAGGATAACAGGTTATAGATTTTGGCACGAAATTCATCCGTAGAGTTTTAGCGTGATAGCTTATGTCAGTTCGTGATGAAAACCCGGAATGTAATTCCTAACCTTAATCATAAACTGTAAATCATAATTCTAATTCCTCATACTGATTTATAACCCTCATTTGGTCCTGGTTATTAAGTAGACACTCTCAAGATCACTTAAGCGTCGCTCTAATGTCATCCATAAATTATAGTCTCACCGTGCAAAACCGTTCCGATTATCATAGTAAATTAGTTCGGCCATATCGGAGGATGAATAATTCTTCCGGCACAAGCTTTTTATAAGATATTCATCTATGTTACATTTTATTTTATCCGTAAAGTACTCACTTTTGTTTGAAAGGAACATTGAACTCATTTTCCCTATTCCAATGCTTGAGATCATGAGTTAGTTGAAGCCAGACCACCATAGAAAACCCGAAAGCACTGGACGACCGTTCTATCCTATTATGGGACTCTTCAGTAGTGTACATCCCCGATCCCACCTCGCTAGATTCGAACCCGGAACCTATCAGTCTCATGCGCGAGCCCTTAACCTGTTGACCACTGAGCCTACATCCAACAGTGTTAATGTCTAACTTCATTTTCTCTATTCATTTGATTTTATTCTGTACATTAGTTAGATAAACTGATTTACTTTTAACTCCAACAGTTCATCGATTCACATATAGTTCATCTCCTGTTCATATGTATGTTTGAAATATTCGTTACCGAGACACTTTAATATTTGACTTTTATTCACCACTGCTATTATTGATATCAGTTCTTTCACCAATAATCCTTATTAATGAAGACAATTTAGAGGCCACAGAACAGCTAAAACCCAGAACGTATAGAACAGCTTCTTACTATGGGATAGAGCACAATCTTTTATATCTTTAGCTTCAATGAATTCATAATATTGAGCAACTATTTTTCATTACCATTCACGAGAAGATGAATGAACATTCTCTAAAATCAATTGAATTTAGACATGGTTTTCAATGGTTACCTAACTAAAGTGAATTCCTTATATAAATTATGTCATTCTAATTATCTTGTATGGATAATGTATTATTATTCATATTTCTCCAGTACCTCGTGTAAATGACAGTTCGAATCCGTTTTGCACAGCTTGTCAAAGAATTAATGGAGTATGTGTGTTAAATAATAGAAAAAATGGTTTATTATTGAATAATTATTACCAAGAGTAAGTCATTTTTAAATATTCACTTCAATATAATTAATATCAGAAGAGGTTTATGTGGATATTATAGTAATTTTAATACTTAAGATCATGAGTCAATTGAAGCTAAACCACCATAGAAAACATGGAAGTACTGGACGGCCGTTTCGTCCTACTGTAGGAATCCTCAGCAGTGCTCAACCACGATCCCGCCTCGCGAGATTCGAAACCAGAACCTATCAGTCACGCGCGCGAGCCCTTAACTATTAGTCCACTGAGCCGGCATCTCGCGTGGTGAGATCGTGGATGCACACTGCTGAGGAGTAGGACGAAACAGCCTTCCAGTGCTTCCAGGTTTTCTATGGTGGTCTAGCTTCAAATAACTCATGATCTCAACTATTAAAATTAATATAATTAGTTTCGAAATAGTTATACATGCAGTTGAATAATACTAGTGAATTATAATCAAGTGTATACTATTTAATGAGGTTGATAAATATTTAGTGTAGTTATAATCATGTGAGGTAACCATTTCACTCAGGATGGATACAAAATTATACAGCTAACTTAAAAGTTACCATTCCTAATCGTAATGGTTCAAAAATTATACAAGAAGCATCACATGGTTTAAGAATAAAGACAACTCTTACAATTATGTGTCAACAATTCCATCATAACCGTAGGTTAACTAAGCATTCCCTATTAATCATCTTAAACAAAGTGCACGGCAACTAATACTTCCTTACTTACTTACGCCTGTTACTCCTCGTGGAGCAGCATAGACCACTTAATCTGTTTGGCGTTCTTTTTAGCAAGATTTTTTCTACGGGATGGGGTTGCCGACCCCATGGGACCAGCAGTAACTCTAGAAGAGCTACAAACGGAGTTATGGAAACTAATAGGCACACCGCAATTTGATGACTTTGATCAGTACTAAACATTACATGATATAAACTGCATTCATTTTTGTTTTTCATTCGGTGCAGCTATTTCAGTGCTATTATGTGCTCATTAACAGCTTAAATAGCTAAGTCATAATATATCTGACACTTAAATTCGGTGATAATGGTCAAATCCCATTGAAAAAAAAAACATATCTTTTCCTCGGATGAATCTATATATGTATTTCTTATGTGTGAAATTTAACATTGAACCGAGATCAAGTGGTTGATTACGGCATGAACCCATTATAAGCATTTAGAATGAATCCTTAGATACTGACATCCTAGTTACATTCTAATCTCCAGAGGCCTCAAACTACTGAATCCAGAATTGAAAACAGTGAGCAGAAAATTTGAAAGAAGCATTATTTTACAGTTTGAGAATCGTAAAGCCCAAGAAGATATAACTTTCCTATACTTTCTATAGATATAAATATATTTAATTATAGGAAGTATCTAACATCTGTAAATTCGAAACTCTTTGAAAACATGTTACATAACACTTGGCGTTGTTTACTTGTATCTTCCCATTGTTATTTAGGATTGCAATTGATCTGTCTCTTATTGGCATATGTGCATCGTGTGCGGACTGCCTCGATATTACCTTAATCCATAAGCATTTCAAACAAAGATGGATGGTGGCTAGTATTGGAATGCAGGATGCAAGTTTCTTCCTATTTGGGACTCGTCAGCTGGAAGTACCTGCATCTCACAGTTGATGATTACTCTAGGACTCGAACCCAGCCGAATCTATCTGACAAGTCCCAAACAGGACGAAACGCGCGTCCTGAACTCCGCTACTAGCCACTATTCATGTTATATAACCTTGTAAAAGTCTATAATACTCTACTTAAACCATCTTTACTATGACTTCAATAGTAACTGTCAAAGATATTGATACTTTATAAATAAGAAACTGTTCTGTTGCTACAATGAAAACCTAATCGATAAAGTCATTGTTCAAGACTCGGAACAATTTCAGATTTAACTATTACTAAATCGACAAACCGTCTCAACTTCCCAGGTTAGTATTAAAATTGTTAAGTAAGGTAGTTAGACTTAAGATTACTTGATAAACGTTTCTAGATCTTTCAGTGATATTGAAGGTTATAGTTCCTTGTTGTTGATAATCAGGATTAAGCTTATTGTATTTTAAGTGAATATCATTTCTTTACTTATTTTATTCGTAAATGGTTAGTAGTAAGTTTACAAGAAGAAATAAACTTCTAATACTTATATAAGTCTGATACTGACAAGGATCCTAGTTTACTGATTGATTTACATCTACATTACCTAATCATATAAATAATTAGTCGATTTGAGGGTTTTAATGATCGTAAGAACATATCGGTCAAAGTAGCTTTGATTATAAGACTTTCATCCTCTTCCTCAACAACATTATCAGTTTAATTACATACGCCTGCTACTCCAAATGGAGAATAGGCCGGCGACCAGCATTCTTCAACCCACTCTGTCCTGAGTCTTTCTAGTTCTATCCAGTTGTCGTCCATTCTTCTCATATCTGTCTCCATTTCTCGGAGTAATTTGTTATTCGTTGGTCTTTCTCTTCTCCTTTATTTGGCCTTGAGGATTTCAAGTAAGGACTTGCCTTGTGATGCAGTCGAGTGCTTTCCTCAATTTGTGTCCTATCCACTTACAGCACTTCCTCTTCATTTCTTCCACCTGTGGAATCTTCTTTGTTCTCTCCCACATTAAATTATTACTGATAGTATCTGGTCAACGGATCCGAAATATTTCGTCTGTTGATGAACACCAACATCTAAGAGTTAATAGATTTTACTAGTAAATGTTTAAATGTTTCTAATGTAAGTTAACTTTCGATTTAATTTATTAACTTTACAAAACTTATCAAGTACTTGACTTTAACCCGTTCTGTTTTTGAGTAACATTCACTGGAACTACTGACTTATTCAAAACTATAGTGTAGAACTTTAATGGAAACTTATGTTGTATTGAATGCGATTCAATTACTTTAGTTTCTATCTGTCTATTTCACTTCATATAAAGAGATATTGATCTAAAGTATCTATATGATTGATTATTTATAATCAATAATTATCCTTAAAAATGATCATATTGTTCTTTCATATTAGTGATCTTCAGTGTGCATGTCCTAGAAAACCAAACATTACTGTTATCAAGAAATACTCATTTCTTGATATATGCAATCCAATCCCTGGTAAGTGTAATACATGCATATATATATATATATATATATATATATATACACAAACTGTTAAATTCCATTCATATTGATATTACACAAATGCCCTGGTATGGCCGAGAGTGAGGTGGGCCCTCCCTCCCTCTCGAAACGCTCTCACGCGGCCACGCGTATACAGCCTCTGCCAGGGAAGTCCTACTCACTACATTCTCGTGGCGGGTGTGTTGTTTACGAAAATGAGAGGATCCAAACCAATGGTGCACATAATCTCCAGTATCCTGCGGGAACAAATGGCGTATGAACCAATCGTTGGTCACCGGCTACCATGGGACTGCATCTCCTCATGATGCTCCACTGCCTTGTGGATCAGACCTTTAGTTCAAAGGCTCAGGGAGTGGCCCCCTGAGATAACCACCTGATTCGGCCTGGGCACCCGGGCAGTCTCACAGCCCACACTCACACAAATATGGTGTGGCGCATACATATTTGATGCCCTCTTGTACCAATATTTATGTGTTCAAATAAATAAATAAAACACAAATTACATTCATGTTATAAATAATTGGGTAATATGTTGCCAAAACTATTTACCCCCCCCCATCCCTAGATCATGGTTTACCAACAAGACATCAACAAATAGAATAAATGGATGATTTAACTTGGACTTTTGTCAAGTAGTCAATATATATTGACGTGAACGTATCTCTACTGTATTTACTAATTCCTGAAACACCACAATAGTATTAGTATATGAGACAGACAAGGTAATCTCAACGATTGAGCCTTAGACCATCAAGTATCTTGATGAATATTCTAGCTTCAGTTCAATTTACGATAGTTGATGACTGATATCCAATGGTCGGCGCCTAAATTTAAATTTATGATAGGTAAAGTAGAATATGTCAGAAGTAAAAAAAATTATCCTCTATAGTTATAATAAAAGATGGATAGTGGCTAGTAGTGTAATCCAACATGAGACTGATCAATTGCAGTCCTGAATAACAATCGGAAGATACAAGTAAACAATATCAAGTAGACTCTATAGTTTTTGGTGGAGTTTTGTTCTCTGAGCTGGATGGTTTGGTCGTGGAGCTTTCATCGTTCTTCTGAACGACATCATCAGCACAAACTTCAGATAGAAGTGAAGTGTTTGAATTTCTCCATATGTGTCTCAAAGCTTGTTCTGTGCACCTCGACGTTGACTCTATAGTTATAATTGTAAAATATTTTAATTCGGTTAAAATTTTAAACTTGAATTACTGGTGCCCAGTCCGATGATCTGATAGTATGGTATTCACCATGATGCTTGAAAAATTCGTAGTTACGTAACTAATAAATTCAGTGAAGATGGATATTGGCTAGCAGTGGAATCCAGGACGTGCGTTTCGTCCTATTTTGGACTCCTCAGCAGTGTGCATCCGTGCTCCCGCCTCTCCAGATCCGAACCCGGGACCTACCAGTCTCACGCGCAAGCGCTTAACCTTGAGACCATTGAGCTGGCCGGCATCCAACACTGTTGATATCTAAGTTCAACTAATCCACGAAATTGATTTTTGTGTAAACCAATTGAAAATCCTAACCCTAATTATTTGTGTTTCGTCAGTACAATCAAATAAAGTGGTCTCGTGAAACTGTTCTGTTTCTCATCGTTAGACTAAAAGTACGATTTCTCCAAAATTAGAAAGTAATTAGAACAATATGAAGTAACCTGGAAACCACATTTTGAAGCCTGATCAAATCATCTTTATATTTAGTCTTATCCTATTAGTCCGGAACCAAGTAAATTAGTACACTCATGACCTAAACGTTTTACATATGATTTAATTTAACCTTATAAATCGTGTAACCACTTTACATACATTCAGATGAATTTGAAGTCAACAGAAGAGATTGTCAGTATAGGGTTGTGGAGCTTATTAAGTTTTTTCATTGAGATCATGAACCGATTAATGTTTGAGAACCATTGAAAACCTGGTAGCACTGAACGGAAGTTTTTTCCTATTGTGGGCCTCATCAGCAGTGCGCATCTATGGTCCCGCTCTCAGTGTTTTAACCCAGAGCCTTCAGTCTTGCGTGCAAACGCCTAACCTCTAGACCACTGAGTCGGTATTCAACGGTATTAATGTTTAATTTCAAATAATGCAAGAAATCGCGCGACCATCTTTGATTATGCTGAGGTATATACCTATCTCTACCCGAAACGGATTAGCTCCACTGGTCATATCATATCATTCATTATATGTATTGAATGAAACGGATAAAAGATTGAAAACTGATCCAACTATTTTTGTTTGATTGTAGTTGATATTGGAGAAGAATGTAATCATATTAATAAAGTATGCCTTAGTCAAAAAGCAATTTGTCTTGAAAGTTCAATCAATATACGTCAAACACAATCGACAACAAATCGTAATGTAAATATTTGTGTTTGTCATGAAGGTATGATTCCAGTATATCAGAAGAATTTAGACTATTTTGAATGTTGTAAGTTAATTATTGTATAATTTGAATTAAACTTCTTTTGTTTTCAACTGAGATTTATAAACTTCTCAGTGGATATTTTGTGGTCTTATATCTGACTCCAATTAGATCGTATGATATTGTAGACGGGTTCGGCACTTTGGTGAAACCGTTCATTTTGATGTCAATTAGATCGGACGATGTTAATAGCGGGCTTACCAATTTTTTATGACTTCAGTTGGATAATATGAATGTTTGTTGTCAAAATATACATACATCCTCGCTATCCTCGTATATTATTATCGACTTAACTTACATTGGTGAGTAACGGAATTTCGAAAACTTATATTTTGTACACATTGATCTAGACAGACGATCAAAGGGACGAAGAGAAGAGAGAGGAGCGAAATGACGCCTAATGGGGAAGGCGTGTGAACTGACTTCATTTAATCAAGCATTAACCAATATTTATAACCAGATAAAAATAGGTTACAGACATGTGATGAATAGGATAAGAAGTGAACATACATAAGCTTACATAAAACAGTCAAGGTTGATAAGTGAATAATTAACAAGGTCAAAACCTGACTCAACAAGAATGGATAAATTAGCCTGTCCAGAAGCTAGAATAAGTCATATGGGTTTAACATAGTAACCGATATACATCAAAGTAATCTACAATAATAAACAACTCTCGAACCATTTGTGTATTAAAGATGAAAGATTCTTATAAAACGACTGGTTTGTAATGCGGTTTCGCATTACACACTAACAACTTTTATAATCTAGAGAGTACTATACTACTAGTATGAAAGTCATAAATTGTTGAATTTTAGAATTCGCATAGCTAACTTATTTCAGTTAGACAACGACTGAAAACCAAAAATGACTTGGATGGATGTTTCGTTCTAGTGTGGGATGACTTGGTAGTGCAAATCCAAGAATCCACAAGTGATCAGACACAGAATTTACAACTCCCATAAAGAGCTACCAACCTTCAGAATTTTAAGTGGGAATCAAGAGATTCACGTTTCTAATACCAATCCATTCAAAATATTCCACGACCACCATCCTCTAAAGATACTTTCTGACTCCTGGTATTGTTAAAGTTCATTGGTTGTGGATTCTAACGTCAGTTCCTGGAATCACCTGTCGTAGTTAGTTACGAATGAGCGCACGATTATTGTTACTACAAGAATCTGTAAAGATTTAGGAAGTTCATGGTTCGTTTCATGGATTGATCTTAATTAGACAACGGGTAGTCAAAATATCAAACACTCACCGTGTGATCTGAAAGACTTGGGTTCTATCGTTGATGGGATCATGAATTCTTACCATTGAAAAGTCTCATGCTGGGAGGAAACATTTGTCCAGTGCTCATTGATTTTTAATAGCTTTTAACGAAGATTAGCACTTAATGAAAATTATGCAACAATTTCATCCCAGAGACTGGAATTATGATTACTAGATATCATAGATTAACTCAGCTCATAAAAAGCTTGACTGCTAACGATCTAACACTGCTTTATTGAACTACTTACTTATTAAATGCAATTTAGTCAGTCAATATGACCTTAACTGTTATATGTAACGGATTTATGTTGTGGTGGATTTGCTTCGTTAAAAAATCACCTTTGTAACCGTTATTATATATAAGCCTCGATGGTGTTTGAAATGAGAAGGCAAAGAGAAGCGGCAACTACAGTTTACCAGTAAATAGCGCAGATCACAAAGCTATGAGCACATAGAGCGAATTTGAAGCGGAGTTGGCTCACATGCCTTCTCTGCTGTGCGTTATTTCTCTTCGATTCTTCCCTCTGATTGAATGTCCAGATCAATGCATATTAAACATACATATTCAAAATTTTGTTCTCGTTCCGTTAATCACCAACTCAAGTTAAGTCGATTATAATATACGAGAATAGCCAGGATATATATTTCGATAGCAGTCATCTAATAGCGATCAACATATGATCTAATTAGAGTCAGATCACGGGCCATTAACATGTAAGCTGACTAATCAAATGTTACTTGTAAACTATTAACTAGTGGTTAAGCGCTCGCGCACGAGACTGATATATCCTGTGTTCGAATCTGGCGAGGCGGGATCATGGATGTGCATTGCTAAGGAGTCCCACAATAGAACGTAATGGCCATCCAGTGCTTCGAAGTTTTCTATGGCTGTCTGATTTCAACTGACTCATGATGTCAACCATTGAAATTATTCACCATTTGACGAACATGGAACAATTCATTCCGATTAATTCATAATTTTATATTTCAGCTCTTAATGTTGACAATCATATAAATCTAGTTGGTCTTAAATAATCCAACAGTATGCTCATTTATAATAAACTTTCAAACTTTCTACACTTGTTAACTAAAACTAGAATCTATAAAAAATTGATAATACAGAGGAACTTCCAATGGTCACCATTGAGAAACCTTATAGTTGAGGTTAACATTTTTCAATCCATTTCAAATGTCATTGTGAAAGCAATAGAAACAACTAATGACCATGTTAACGTCTATCTTGAATCAATCAACCATATTGCACCACCGTCCACCATTTTCTTCATCCAGTAACTGTCTCACAACAGACACGGTTGAACTTCACTAGTTATGACTTCTCACTACAACTCCATCAAATCCATCTTCAACCTAGTCACTAGTCAGCACATCATAGTTATCAGTATACGGTTGTGCACATTGTTGATTTTACATTAATATCATGAATGGTGGATAAATGTTAGACGACAATTGAAAAGCTAGAAATAGTGGATAACCGTTTCGTTCTAGTATGGGACTGGTGAGTTATGAGCATCCATGATCCTTGATTTGGGACCTAGATCCATGTCATAGAGTTTCACGTGAGAACGCTTAACCCGTACACCAATCAGTCCACATTCAACCGTGTTAGTGTCTGACTTCAGTCAATCAATCATATTTTTACACCGTCCACGATTATCTTCAGTCATTAACTGTCTCACAACAGACACGGTTCAACTGCACTAGTCTTCCACTAGGCTTCTCATTAGAACTCCAGGAAATATCAGTCACTAGTGGGCACATTATTATTATTATTATTATTATTATTATTATTATTATTATTATTATTATTATTATGATCAGAAAGGGTTATTTTGTGGAGATTGTAGTGATTCAACAGTTGGATTTATGTGTCGATTAAAGCTAGATCACCATGGAAAACTCAGAAGCACTGAAGCTTAAGCGTTCACTTACGAGGCTGTAGGTGCTGAGTTCGAATCTAGTCAGTGATATCATGGATACACACTTTTGAAGAGTTCCATACTACGACGAAACAAGCATCCAATGCTTTTAGATTTTCCATAGTAGTCTAGCTTATATCGAATTATGAATTCAACTCTTCAATTCACTACATTCTCCACAAATCACCCCCCCCCTCTTTTCTAATAAAAAAGTGATGTAACTGAAATCCAATTCTATTCATTGTACAATAATTATCTAACATCTTAGTTCTTTTTTTTTCTATTCTTTCCTATCTCTTCATATTAATTAAATGATTATCCCTTAGTTATTGTTATTTATTATAAACTATCCATATAAACTGATATGTTACTACTCAATTATTATTATTATTATTTCTATTCAAGTTTTGCTTCATTTAGACAGTTGCTATGCTACATAATAATAATACTAGTAATAGTATTGATAATACAACAACAACAACAACAACAACAACTACTACTACTACTACTACTAATAATAATAATAATAATAATAATAATAATAATAATAGTAATAATAATAATAATAGTAATAATAATGATAATAATAATATGAAACCAGATTGAAATTAATCAGTTTAAATTAACAAAATAGATCGAATCTATAGGTTAGTAAGTGGAATCATCAACTTCACATAGAGATATATGGATATACCGAGGGGGTGGTGGAGGGGGGAAGCATGAGAAAAACTATTTATAAATCGATAAATTAAGTTTCTTAGCCATCTATAATTTTGATGTTGTTGTTGTCAATTTGATAAATTGATTTAATATTGTACAAATTCTGTACTCATAGAATAGAAGCATCGTCGATATGATTCAGTTTGAAGTGAATTTGAAATGATATAAGACTATACATGTTATAACTTATGCCCTGTGTCCTATTAATCTAGAACGTAATGATATAGTCGATTAAAGAACAGTGATGAATTGACCAGACCAATGACGCATAAAACCTGTAAGAGCAGTCTAGAGTCCTTATCGGTCCTGCTTCACGCCTAGCCCTGACTGTTAACTCCGAAACACCAATCTCAGCCTGTGCAATATGAATCATGTATTTCAAACACACTGTGTTTATACATTTGTACAAGATTTAGCCGAACGTGGCTGTGAATGTAGGAGACTTTCATCAATAAACTGCGCTTAACTCAAGAACTGTTATTCGTATAATAATAGTTTATAGGTGGAAATAAAGCTTATGATAAGACAAACATGAATATGAATAGTTTAGTTAATTAACAATTATACGATAAAAATATACGCATAGTATTGATCCATAAATGGATTCCACAAATTACCAATAATTATTCTCATCAGGATATAACAAAATTACCACTAGTAACACTACTGTGGTTATCTTTTCAACTTTCTACATCTGGACATTCTACTTTCTAATGCTGGTACATACTACAAATATCTGTCGACATCAGTAGTACATACCACACTACTACTACACTACTACAACTACTGTGGTGTGAGCTACTTATATCTACATAAGTAATATATAACGATAGTCAGGAATAGAATGTATTTCAGTGGAAGATCGAGAAAGAAAGAAATAAGGAATGGGAATAGAAAGTAACTGGTATGAAAATACAGGGAAACTGAAATCTGAAACGATGAACTTTCATAATACGTGGAACACGAATATGAATAGTTTAGTCACTTAACAAGTATACAATAAAAGTATATGTATAATATTGTTCCATAAATGGATGTTAAATGTTACCATTCATTATTCTCATTGGGATATAACAGTACATCACTATGGAGTTTCACATCATGATTATTATATAACTCATATATAAGTTAAATCTTATTTAGGTCATTAGTTGTAAATTACCATTAGACAAATAGTATTAAACTATGAGAATCCAATTTCTCAGTTTTTTTCAATAAATTAACCTGAATGCTATAAAGTACAATCATTGTTAGGTCGTTGATGTACCCTTTTGAATAGTTTCAAATCAAGATAAATAAAACACCGTTGGGTGCCGGCCGACTTAGCGATCTACAGGTCAAGCGTTCTCGCACCAGACCGATAGGTTCTGGGTTGGAATGCTGCGAAGCGGTATCGTTGATGAGCACGGCTAAGGAGTCCCATACCAGGATGAAACGGCTATCCAGTACCTCCAGGTTTTCCATGGTTGTCTAGCTTCAAGTGACTCATGAATTCAAGTATAAAATTACTAAAATCTGTACACAATCATTTCTGATAAAGATACTTCATTTGCAGAACGTCAATCAGTCGTCTCAGACTTCATCATGCTGTCGTTTCCACACCAACCATTCTTTGTTCTCGTTCTCTCTTCTTTGATCTTTATAACATTCTGTCGCCAGGTATTTCACTTTCAATTGCTGATACATACTGCTTCCATCTGTCAACATCAGTAGCACACACCACACAAGTAATTCTACTTTCCAGCACAACTGATGGTTATTAAAAAAAAATACATTAATTTTTCACACATTATATGATGATTACTATATAAGCTATATTGCTATGTAGAGCTGAAGGTCTCATATGAGACTGGAGGTTCGTCATTGATATTGTGAATGATTCGGCATTACTTTGACAAGTTTTATTGAATGTTCATGCACAAAATCGGTTTGCTGGTTAATCGATTTCATTCATACTGCTGACTGCTTTGCAGCCTTCTCAAGGGCCTTTATTATTGAAACATTGTAAAGCATGTCGCCATTGCAAACATTAATGAGCTTGACTGTCGTGTAAATGGAATAGGTCAACATTGGCCTGTTCGTGCTGTGCATAATTGATTCACGCGATTATTGATCGGAATATTTGTACATATAATGTATAGATGTATATAAATGGTACGAATAGTTCATCAGGGTGTTGTGTACCTGTATGATTGCGCCGCAGGATTGATTTGTACTATTTAGATTGTAGCGTTAAAGCCTATGTGGCATCTGGTTCTTTATTGAAGCGGTTATAAAGTTTAAGCTGAGACGATATCTGGATCTCTTGTTAAACAGGATTGAGATTGTCACATGAAAGTCTAGATGGTATCCAATTCTCTTAATACAATCTCCACATGAACCCTTCTTTGATTATAATTTGTTATCTATACTCTTTTCTTTTCTTTTTATATAAAAAAAAAACAGTTATCGAAGAAACTGATCCAACTATTATTGATTGTCAACATTGTTATCAATCAAATGGGAAATGTTATCGACTTAATATTGGATCAATCAATCGAATACAATATCAATATAGTTGCTCATGTTCATTATTTAAACAAAATGATCAATCACTTAGTGATTATTATTCTTATCCATATTATTTAGATATAAATTTGAATAATAAAAAAATCAATATTCAATCTGATCAAGGATCTGAACAAGGAAAACAATTATCAAGGTTTCATATAAAGAGAAAAGATTGTATAGAATATTTATGTAAGTGTTTATGGTTTGAAAGTCGATTAGTGTTGTTTTACTTGGATCTTCTCATTGATACGTTAGGATTGTAATTGATCAGTTTGTAATATACGGATTGCCTTGATATTGCCTCAATCCATAAGCATTCTAAGGAAAGATGGATAGCGGCTAGTAGTGGAATAAAGAACGCGTGTTTCGTACTCTTTGGGACCCGTCAGCTAGATGTACTTACATCTCACAGTTGATATTCACTCCAGCACTCAAACACAATATTGTTCGCTATCTCGTTATCCACTTAGCTACTAAGTCCTCATGACCACTAGCTTGTACAATGTGGTCAAGTTTAAATTCATTTTGTATTGTTCACTTGAATGTTCCAATTGATGCGTTCAGACTGCAATTGATTAATCTCTTATTGGCATATGCGCAATATGGTGTACAGATTACCCCGATATAATCTTATTTCACAAGCATTCTAAGCACATCCCATTGCACAAGCAAGTGATCATCAGGACTCAGTAGCTGAGCGGATAACATGAAGGTATTTTGAAGCGAACGATATTGGGTTTGAGTCGCAGAGTGAACATCAACTTTGAGATGAAGGTATATCCGGCAGACGAGTCCCAAATAGGACGAAACGTGCATTGTGGATCCCATTACTAGCCACTATCCATCTTTGTTTATAATGTTGAATATTGTATTGAATATTGCGCACAATTGAGGAGTTCTACGATAGGACGAAACAGCAGTCCAGTGCTTCCAGGTTTTCCATGGCGATTTAGCTCCAACTGACTCAGGATCTCAACCATTGATATTACTATAATATCCACAAAACTCCTTCTGATATGAATAATCAAAAGCTCAAACTTACAGTTAGTAAAGTCTCGTAGCTTTATCAGTAAATATAACATTAACTGAAGAAAATAAATGTCTGTATAACTGTATATATTTTTAAAGACTTAGTCAAATACTTATATGATGTAAATGGTTTCTAGTTGTAAGTGATTGATTCTAATTGGTAGAAAAGTTTGTGCCCAGATATTATATTAACTGTCACTTGTCAACAAGGTGTATATACAATAATAAGAGAATAGATGTTACCTGTGGAATTTGAACCGACGTCACCTTGTGTACCAATCACTTACGTACTTAGTTACTGGGAATATAGTGCCACCTATGACCAGTTTATTGAAGGCGTATAGGTTTGCAAGTCTCTCACCATTTTCGTTTCTTTCTCCTAGTCCATGTCGTCCCATGATGTCTTCATATCCGGTGTTGTCCATTCCAACCTTGGCATTTAGGTCTCGCATAAGGATGGTCAAGTCCTTTGTTGGGCACTCCTCGTTGAGTTGGTCTTTACCGTCTTCATTGTAGTCGTTGGTAGGTGCATAGCATTGGATGACGTTCATTGTAATGCCCTCTTTCTTTGTTTTAAAGAAGGCTTTGATGATCCTTGGTCCATGAGATTCTCATCCTATAAGTGCATTTTTTGCTTGTTTGGATAGCATCAATGCAATTCCTTGTGTATGTGGAGTATTTTTTTCTTCATGGCTGGAGTATAACAGCAGCTCTCCTGAAGCTAGTGTTTGTTGTCCAACCTGCGTCCAATGTGTTTAACTTATTTCAAGTATCTCCAGGTTGTATCTCTACATTTTTGTAGGAAGTTGGAAGGTTCTGCCGGTCTCTTACATTGTAGGAACACTCAATGTACCCTAATTAATGGTTACTTTGGTTGTCAGAAGGGGCATCAGACTCGTGAATTTCAAAAGAACTCGGCTTTCACTACGAGGTGTCATAACTATTCTAAATGAAGAACCTCTGATTGCCAAGGCAGAGTTTAATTGGTTTGAATAATTTTTTCTGGTTAGCGTTATTCTAGTGAGTTAGTCTTCTACGGGATGGGGTCGCTAACCTCATGCCCAACTCTCCTTCTTCATCCAAACTTGAGATCGGCGGCAGCCCCAGAGGGGCTCCAGACGGAGTTGTGTCCTAATCGCAGATGTGATTTTGTTCGAGCTATCACAGAGTTGTTATTAGAACTGATATTTCTGATTGACTGTTTACAAACTATTACGAAAGAACGTTAAAGAGGTATAATATATTTGTAAAGAAAGAACTTTGGTCATCTTGATTTATTAACTAAGAATATTCGGTTTAAAAGAATTTAGAACAGTCAACTATTCTTCATTTCAGGTAATTGAACTAGAGTTGAGGTAAAACTAAATCTTCTAATTTTCATATTTCTGAATATTAAGTAAGCAAATAGAGAGAGAAAATATTATTTTGGAAACAGACCAATAGTTTTGTTGTTAAGCCTATTATCCTTCATGGAGGAGCATAAACCGACCAACAGCATTCTCCATCCAACTCTGTCCTGTGCACTCCTTTTCATTTCTTTTCAGTTGTTATTCATCCTTTTTATGTCTGCTTCCAATTCTCTACTCAGTATGTTCTTTGACCCTCTTTTCTTTCGTTCCCCTTCAGGATTCCGAGTAAGCGTTTGTCTCGTGATGTAGTTTGATGATTTCCGTAATGTATATCCTATTCACTTCGAAAATCTTTTCGTAATTTCCTCTTCAAATGGAAGGTAGTTTGTTCTCTCCCACAGTAGGTTATTGCTGATGGTATCTTGTCAACGGAAATTCAGTATCTTACGTAGGCAGTAGTTTGTGCATTTTCGATGATGGTTGTTTTAGTTCTCAAAGTTTTATCTCCATACAATAGAACTGTCTTGATGTTCATATTGAAGATTGTGACTTTGATATCGATTGACAGTTGCTTTGAGTTCCATATGTTCTCTAATTGTAGGAATGCTGTCTTCAATTTTGCCAATCCTTGCCTTTACGTCCACATTAGGTCCTCTTTGTTCATTTCTCATTTTCCTTTCTTTTTTTTATTAGTACAGATTATATGTAATCAAGAAAGTATTCATATCTGTTTTAAAAATCCATATCAAACATCAATGATAAGAACCAATCATAGATCACGAAGCATTCAAGTCTACTTGGATGCATCAAGGATCTATCCTGAATCCATTCAACATGAATTCAACTATTCTATAGATAATCAAAAATGTTATTTAATCAAACAGAATAAACATAATAATGATGAATATTGTTTATTAGTTAATTTTAATCAATTCAATGAATTGAGACAATGTGGAATTTATGAAATAAGTTATAAGGTAAGAAAGATTTGTTTATTTTTATTTAAAGTGTTTAATTGATTAAATTCTCAATAGTTAAGAGAGTAAGACGTTCGAACACGAGACTGAAGGTTTTAAGTTTGAATCCTTCTGGCAGGTGGGATCGTGGGCGTGTATTGTTGAAGAGTTATATAATGGGATGAAAAGTGAATCGGGCATTCCACTCTTAGCCACTGTTACGTCCTTGATCTGTCTACCCACTTTTAGTGCTGAGGACAACTTGATTGAGATCATGAATCGATTGGTGTTAGACCACCATTGAAAACCTGGAAGCACTGGACGGCCGTTTTGTCCAATTGTGGGACTCCTCAGTGGCAGTGCGCATCCACGATCCCGCTTGCGGGATTCGAACCCAAGGCCTTCAGTCTCGCGCGCGAACACTTAACCTACTGGAACACTCAGCTGGCATCCAATGGTGTTAATGTCTAACATCAACCAATCCACGAAATTGCGCAACCATCTTCCACTGTAATGAGGTAGACACCTGTTTCTACCTGACAAGGATCAGCTCTACTGGTCACGGCTTCTCACCAGAACTCCGAGAATTTTCTCACGAAGCTAGTCACTAGTGAGCACATGGTCTAACATCAATCGGTTCATGATCTCAATAAAAAGCTTGACAATCTCCACAACCCCTAAACTGCTAAATTGAGACCTTGACGCGATATGTTGACTGGTTTAACCTTGAGGCTAGTACGCATGAGTTTGAAGTGGGGTAGAGAGAAGAAAACTATTCTATCACCTGATTGACTGACAAGTACGCGAGTAAGAGAAGACCAGTCAACTGGGACACTACTTGATTTATTCTCAATCCCAATCTGGTTCCCGATTTCCCGATATCAGATCAGTGTAAAAAGATACATGAATAAATAGATGACTAGCCCGACCACAACGCATAAGATTTCGGAAAATACAATTACGTCCAGAACTGGGGATTAGCGTAGAAAATAGGGTGCAAAATATTATGTTTAAATTACAATAGCTTGGGAACAAAAAGGGCTATGGCAGTGAATCATACATCAAACGAAAGCCTATAATCTGTAGAATGAACTAGGGACAAAAATAAATGTTAATGTTTTACAAGCTTTGAATAAAATGGAATAACGTCCCGAAAAATTAACTTTTGTAATTTGTCAAGGCTTCTCGTTTCTCTGTTGACATCACCACTATCCATCTTTGCTTATGATGATTTTGAAATAAGGCAATATCGAGGCAATCTGTACACCATATTGCGCATATGCCAATAAGAGATTAATCAATTGCAGTCTGAACACATCAATCGGAACATTCAAGTAAACAATACAAAATGAATTTAAACTTGACCACATTGTACAAGCTAGTGGTCATGAGGACTCAGTAGTTCAGTGGATAATGAAGCGAACAATATTGTGTTTGAGTGCTGGAGTGAATATCAACTGTGAGATGCTGATATATCCAGATGACGAATCTTAAATAGGGCGAAACGCGCATTGTTGATTCGTGTTTATATTATCAGTCAGTAGAATATTTTATAAGACTCCACCTTATGTAATCACTCAATCTACATGATTAAGTGCTATTGATTAGCGTCAAGTCTTTTGAGTAAAATCGTTCATCTTTTCAAATGAAATCAGTAGTCAGTTAATTTAGTGGTCAACATGAAATCGAAATCTCTTGCTCAAGTCACGTATTGTTAGTTATATAGTTATATAATATACCCTTGTGGGCCAGGGTAATTTTACATTGGTTTTCAGGAGAACCAGACACTATCCAGACTTTCACGTGACAACCCAAACAGTACAGGTCAATCCGGTTTAACAGGAGAGCCAGACATCGCCCAGGCCTAAGTTTTATAATCCGAGCAGTACAGCTCAATCCCGCTTCACTGGAGAACCAGACACCGTATAGGCTTTAACGCTACAATCGGAATAGCACAGCTGAATCCTGCGCGCAACCACACAAGTACCAAGCACTTTGGTAGACCACGTATTGTATGTAGAGCGAACTAACCAACATAAATCATATTTAAGTTAAAATATATAGCACTGTTATTACATAAATGCATTTTGCATGTCAAGCTGAATCAGGGTATACTAAAGGTTTGGATAAGTTTCTTTTGTATACATAGTTCCAATTTTTGTCAGATACAATGGCAAATGAGAGTTGTTCCTGTCGATTGTTCCCAAAATTGATCGGCTAGAGAATACTATACTCAATGTTGCTGAGAGAAATGCTATTTTAAGAGATCCAGAGATTCTTCTCTCTAGGTTGTCAATGGTTTCGTTACCTCTGAAATCTATGTTTACCCAAATTATTGTCGTTTATACGGAGGTCTTCGGTATTTATGATGGTCTGTATTTAATATTCTTGTTATTAATCCTCGATTAGATACCCATTTTCAACAAGTATTCTCCTTAGGAGATTGGAGCAATTCTGCAGCAATTTGGAAGGCTCTGCCGGTCTCTTACATTGTAGGAACACTCAATGTACCTTAATTAATGGTTACTTTGGTTGTCAGAAAGGGCATCAGACTCGTGAATTTCAAAAGAACTCGGCTTTCACCATGAGGTGTCATAACTATTCTAAATGAAGACCCTCTGATTGCCAAGGCAGAGTTTAACTGGTTTGAATAATTTTTTCTGGTTAGCGTTATTCTAGTGAGTTAATCTTCTACGGGATGGGGTCGCTAAACTCATGCCCAACCCTCTTCCTTTATCCGGACTTGGTACTGGCAGTAGCCCCATAATAGCTCCAGATGGAGTTTTCTTAGGAGATTAAATTCATCATATGCGAAATCGGAAGTGCAAACTATTTGTACTGAGAGATATGAGTAAATTTCCCCTTCTACCAAAAAGAAACACCTGTGGAAGTTTGATGACCGGTTATTTCATGATAATATTCTATGAATCTCCTGACAGTCCTATCGGATATACTTTGTCTGTTTTTAGGTTCAATTATGAATTTCATTGACAGATAACAGTTGTCAATAGTCATAAAGGATAAAGGTATCACTGAAAATGAAAAAATATTCTACTAAGCAGTTATTATACTGCATTAAAAATCACTTTTTGTATTTCATCCTAATGATCTTAACTTTCTTTTTATATTTTTTTGTAGTATGGATCTGTATTTTATGGCACATTACATGCTGAAATTGCAAAGAATGAGGTTTCATTATTGAGAAACGTTCATATTGACTTTGTTTGTCATATCAATGTTTCTTATTTGAATGGGTCAAATCTATCTACTTCATATTTCTATGACAGGTAAACTACTTATGCGCATATATATATATATATATATATATATATATATATATATATATATATATATATGTTGCCAGGATGTAATAAGATATAATGTCTGTGTTTGTTGGGTGATTTGAATTTTTATTTCTACTTGTAATATACTGTTTCCGATAGAACCCTTAAAACTTGACTCCACTTTTATTTCAATCATTTGTGCTACTTAATAATAATAAAGTAGTTCAAACTATAACGAAACATTTCTTAAGCTTATTTATTGAAAGTAGTTGGATTCTTTTAATTAAAACGAACTGCTTACATTCAGACCTCAATGTGACGTTTCATTTTTTTAAATTTCAAACGGCATTTCTGAATGTTTCGCTTACTTATTTTGCATGTGCGATGTGCTCCTCAAAATTTTATCTTCAAACGTTATGCTTATTATCGAAAGGCTGTTTAATTTACTTTCTTTGTGCAACTGCGTATCGGAATGCGCTTAATCGACACACATTAATTTAGACTTTACTGTTATTCTTGTAAATGAAACTAATACAAATGGACTGATCGCGTCTCTTTCATAAGGGACTTTTGCGTAGTGATTTGGTCATTCAGTTGCAAATTATGTTCACTTACTTACGCTTGTTACGCCAAATGGAGCGTAGGCCGCCGACCGGAAATCTCCAACACTCTGTCCTCCGCCATCCTTTCTAGTTCTATCCAGATCTTGTTTATTCTTCTCACTTCTGTCTCCAGTCCTTGGCGTGATGTGTTATTTGCTCTTCCTCTTCTCCCTTGTCTTTAAGGATTCCAAGAGAGAGTTTGCCTTCTGACTCAGTTGGGTGCTTTCCTCAATTTGTGTCCAATCCACTTCCAGCACTTCTTCCTCATTTCTTCCTCCATAATAATCCGGTTTGTTCTCCCCCATAGTAGGTTGTTGGAAACTATGCACCACTTGACAATGTATACGAAACAGAGTTTGTGGACAAAGACTATCTCGGACAATCTAATTGGCAAATAACCAACTGTCATTTAATCTTCTGTATGTAGATATTATGTGATTGACAATTTCATCTCACTAATGAGTTAGTTCCTCTATAAGTCAATACAGGAATGTCAAAAATAGTTCAGATATTACAAATCTTTCCTCTAACAAGTTTTAAAATATCCATAATCCTCTCATTCGTTTTTGTTCTCAAAGATCGATCACCTTTAAAAAAAGAAATGGTCAGCTGAATTTATCGCAAAAATCAACGGGAATCAACAATCTCCTCCCAACGAAGTACATCGAAAAGCAAACTTTTCAAAAAGAAACAACACGAAATATCAATCTCAGTTCAATATCTTTGTCCATAATTAACTTAACCAAAAATATTTCGCAAAATCATGAAATGACATTAAAAATCTCTTCATCATTATCTGGTAAGAAATTTAAATTCAAATGATAGTTAAGTTCATGAGTCAGTTGAAGCCAAACAACCATGGGAAACCTGAAAGCACTGGATGGCTGTTTCGTCCCACTGTGGGACTCCTCAGCAATGCTATTGGGGACGATAGATCCCCAAAACTCATATTTTGTAATTTTATCATATCGATTAACTTATCGATTAAATGTTTAAATATTTGAATGGCAGTCAATTGATGAACTTATCGATTAAATGATTAACTAGCAGTCAATTGATGAAATTATCGATTAAATATTTAAATGCCTGTTGATTGATGAACTTATTGATTAATGTTTAAATACATTTTACCATGACAATATCGATTGTAAATATTTGTATAAATACGCTTGACTTGTGTGCTTAACCTGACTTGATATCTGCTGTTTGTCTGTAGAATACACTTTCTACGCCCCACCCAGACTTCTTGACCGCGTTAGCTGAGTCGGGTACAACGGACCAGAATAGCCTATCGAGATTCTGAATCCCTTGATCCGATCGATAAGTCACTGTCCTCTAATCGGTGGCCTCTTTGGGGTATAACAAATGCCCATTCACGATCCCGCCCCGCGAGATCTGAACCCAGGACTGTCAGTTCACAGAAACCCTCTCTAATAATCATCATCATATGCTCGTTGGTGACTGGTTTCAAGAGGCATTTCTTGGAGTTCTAGAGAGAAGCAGTGACCAGTAGAGTTCAACCAGGTCTGTTGTGAGATAGTAGTTCATTGAAGACAATGGTGAACGGTGGCTCAATTTCGTGGATTGGCTGAAGTTAGACATTAACACCGCTGTACGTCGGCCGGCTCGGTGGTCTACAGTTTAGGCGCACGCATGCGAGACCGATAGGTTCTGGGTTGGAATCCCGCAAGGCGGGACAGTGATTGTGCGCTGCTGAGAAGTCCCACAATAAGACGAAACGGCCGTCCAGTGCTCTCAGGTTTTCCATAGTTATCATTTAATCTTCCGCATGTATATTTTATGCGACTGACAATTTCATCTCAATAATGAGTCAGTTCCTCTATACGTCAATACAGGGAAAATTCATGAACCCAACTATTAAATTACTATAATATCCCCAAAATCCCTCTCTGATTATAATACCTAATTTGTTAATTTTTTTCTTCAATTTGTTTAGAATTCATATTAATAGAATATTGTTTGGTCAAAGGTCAATCGATTCCTTCCAAAATACTGCCAACATATGAACATGAAAAACTCTTAGATTTAAAGTACGTACGTACGTACGAAGTAGTCAGCAAGTTTAAACAAATACTCTTGTAATATATGATTTGAAATCTTAACACTATTAACACGTTTTCATGCCTGTCTACTTATCTGAACATCGTAGTATTGAAGAAAATGAAATCTATTTGTCAGAGACTTTAGAGTTAATGAAAAACTTCTGGCCTGAGTCAACACCTGAACTAAGGATAGGAAGTAAAGTAGTCGAACGCGTTGAAAACTTCACTTATCTTGGAAGTCTGATCAGCCCTAATGGGTTGGTGTCTGACGAAATCTCAGCACGGATTCGAAAAGCTCGCTTGACTTTTGCCAACTTAAGTCACCAATGGTGAAGGCGAGATATCCGTCTATCAATAAAAGAACAGCAGTCCGTTCTGTTCTACTTTACGACTGCGAAACATGGCCACTAAGAGTAGAAGATATTTGTAAGCTACTAGTATTTGACCACAGATGCCTTAGAGATATTGCTCGCATCTTCTGGGATCATCGGGTAGGTAATAGTGAGGTTAGATGCAGGGTATTAAGTGATGATGGTAAATCACTTGATGAGGTTGTGAATCTTCATCGACTGAGATGGTTGGGCCACGTGTCACGTATGCCTGAACACCGACTACCACGACGTGCAACGCTATCCGGTATTGGACATGGTTGGAAGAAAGTTAGGGGTGGCCAAACCAAAACGTGGCATCAGTGCTTGAAGTCACTGACTTCTGGTCTGAGTCATGTTGGTAGATGCAGACTACATGGTTGGGGTCCGCGTGACTATCGTAACCAATGGTTTGAGACTGTGGGTGACATGGCTCAGAATCGATCACAATGGCGCAGGTGTATACACTCTGTCTTCCTTTAAACTATGAGATTAAAATTACTTTATATCTTTCTTTCTACGAACTAATTCTTTCCCTCTTTACTATATCCTTACATGAAATCTTTCCTTTTTATATTACACCATTGAGTTAACTGCTTCTATGAATCCAGTGTTCGTCTTGTTGTGCTAATGAGGTATGGCGACTTGAACAGATGCATATATATGCCTGGTCCTACATTGTAACTGACTGCCTGACTAACAACTAATCTTTTCTAGTTCAAACGAACGACTTCATGAATAATGCCTATAATTTTAATAGAGCGTTTATAAAAGCAGTTTGATCTGAACATAATATCCATCAATGACTGACAATATTCAAGAATTAGTGAAAACCAGAGAAGATTAGACAGTAGTTTCATTCTAATGTGAGACTATTCAGAATGAAGAATGCACCCAAGACCTCGTTGAGGAAAGAGTCCACGAATTCAAGTTTCACAGAGAGCACATTTCCTCAAAGATATTGGTTTATAATCTTAAATCGATAAACAAGAAAGATGACATGTCACAAATATATAAAAAGGTGAGACTATAATTTATAGACGAACCAATCACGTATAAGATAACAGGTCTCAGAATTTGGCGCGAAATTCATCCATCCATTTGGCTAAATAGAGTTTTGGCATTATAACTGTTATCAGTTCGTGATGAAAACCCTAAATCTAATTCGTTACCTTAACAATCAACTGTAAATCATAGTTCGAATTCCTCACATTAGTTTATAACCCTCATTTGGTTCTAGTTATTAGGTGGACACTCAAGGTCACCCTAACATCACTCAAAGGTCGTCCATAAATTATAGTCTTACCTATAGGAGTTTATATAAATAAAAACCTTATGTTTTACCTAGTATCGAAATAGTTTTTGACCAAGGATCTATGGTTAATAAATAGTGCCGACTGAATACTCTCTCTCTCTTTAACACATAAACACAGTATTTGACTGAGAATCGATTGTACAAATCTGTATTTGATTAGTTACTAAATCCTTTGGACTGGTATAGATACTAGTTCGATAGTGATTGATTTTAGCTGATAGATAACAGTGTTACCAAACGTATGGTAATCCAGAAATTACTATTTCTAATCAAAGTCTATCATTCTTTGAAGAAGTCGTCAGCGATTAGAAAACTATCAGAAACAATTCGATTAGTAATAGCTCTTCAGAAAGTTCTAGAAGTTTAAATACAAACCGATTATCATTTAATTATCCTTATTAGACAATAAGTCTATTTGTTATTATACACGTTTTTTCCCAGAAACTTCTTACGAATCCATTTGGTTTCAACGAATTCACTAACTTTTAATTTCTTGTAGAAGTTTGTGACATCTGGGGGTTAACAATCGGTTACAGAGTCATTATGTAAGCATTCAAGTACAAGACGTATCGAAATACGATCACGGTAGAGGAACTCGTCCATATGGCTCCATAATACTCGGTCTCTGGAGCCATGATAGGATCGAAAAACGATGCACATCACTAAGTCTGTGAAGCATTTGTACGCTCCCGAATCATTCGTATATATTGTAGTACCTAAATTCAGTCAGTGTTATTGGTGTTTTTATTATCCAGTTCGCAACCATTGTCATAAATTGCCTCAATCTCAATGTAGATTGAGCGAAAAAATCCCATACTAGCAGAATTCTTCCTCCAACATATATTACATCGAAAGACAATATCATCACGGTAGTTTACAGAAGGTACCACAAATAATTTGATTACAACAATCACAAATAAAGGAGCTTCTTAGTAGTCCCTTTTGTTATAGCCGCTCAATTGTCACGTCTTCTCTGAAATCCGCTTTGAACCGATTGTACTTTAGCATCAGTCGCCGAAATTGGCGCCATGACCTTGAAATCCCTCAAACGCTTCTGATTGGTTCGTCCATAAATTATAGATTTGTTGAAATTACTAGTAATCAGTATATTTCATAGAGAGAACTATAGCTCAAACCTTAAGTGATTAAACACCAATCTAAAATTCACAATTTTTATACACTTTGGCAGCGCATTTTTTGTGATTCAATTAATTTTAGTAGAAGGTGTTCTAGAACTATCCCTCGTCAAAGTCTGTAGGCTCTAAGAAATGCCAAAAACATGTTTGATCCAATCAATGTAGAATAGAACCTCCTCGAAAACATCCAGGAAATGCAGAATTACATGTCATGGTTTTAGTTGGATAGTTACCTATGATATTTCTAAATTTAGTGTGGATCCAAAAATTTCCAGAGGACCGAAGTTGTTTTTGGTGGTGCGGTCTTTTCGCACTTTGTATCTTGTCTCTTGTTTTTAAGTTTCCGAGCAGATTTCACCTGAGATTATTAGCAAGTAGATAAGAAATAGTAGTTTATTGTTCGATTATTGTTCCATTGTGAAGTTGTTGTCATCGAAGACGTTGTTGAGCAGATTGTAGGTGTTTTGCACCTCATCCTTTTTGACGATGACGAATGTGCCGTCCACATAACGAATCCAAATGTTTTTTTAAATGATTTAATTAATAACACTACTCAACTTAATAAATGTAAGTTGACAACGTTTAAAATGTTAATCTACACAATAATAATTACCATTCCTATAGCGTTTCTAAAACTGTTTCTGTTATTTTCCCCAAAATAATATTGTTACAACTTGTGGGTTTGTGACCCTATCAATTTATAACGTAGTTATACCTTCAATTAGAAAACAGTGAATTATCGATCGGACCAATGACGCATAAAACAAGTACGAACAGTCTAGAGTCCTTATCGGTCCCGCTTCCCGCCTAGCCCTGCCTGTTAAGTCCAGAACACCAATCACATCCTCTGAGATATGAATCATTTATTTCAAACATACAGGGTTCATATACAAACCAAACAGACTACATCGCACCATACAATAGGAAACAACATTTGTACAAGATTTAGCCAAATGTGGCTGTGAATGTGGGAGATAGTAATTGATACACTGGGCATAATTCAAGAACGGTAAATCGTATAATAATTGTTCATAGGTAGAAAGTTACAGAACGACGTTCCTACACCAATCACTCTTTGTTGTCATTCTCTTCTCTTTGATCTTCTTACCTTCCTGTCGCCAGGTATTTCACTTTCGATTAATGGTACATACTACTTATACATGTCAATATCAGTAGTATACATAACTTTAATAAATATTAACTTGTATCTTCTTATTTATTTTTTGTTTTCATTAGATGTTTCAATACAAACATTCATAGAATTAAACAAATCATTGATATATATAATAATAATCTAATAGAATATCAATGTATTTTATTCAAACGAATCATTCATCATCGGACATCTAATAAGAATCATTCAATTTGGACTAGTCAGTCGTTTCATTTAAACAATATCTCATTATATAATACTGTTTATTCTACTTGTCTTATACGTGTTTGTCAAATAGAACAACTTTGTACATATGTAAGTGGTTAAAGAAAGAAAAAAAGAGCGTAAAATTACATTGTTGGAAAGTATTTACTTACAGAAAGGGGGTGATTTGTGGAGAATGTAGTGAATTGAAGAGTTGAATTCATAATTCGATATAAGCTAGACTACTATGGAAAATCTAAAATCAATGAATGGTCATTCCGTTGTAGTATGTAACTCTTCAAAAGTGTGTATCCACGACACCACTGACTGGATTCGAACTCAGCACCTACAGCCTCGTAAGTGAACGCTTAAGCTTCAGTGCTTCTGAGTTTTCCATGGTGATCTAGCGTTAATCGATACATGAATTCAAATGTTGAATCACTACAATCTCCACAAAATAACCCTTTCTGATAATAATAATAATAATAATAATAATAATAATAATAATAATAATAATAATGTGCCCACTAGTGACTGATATTTCCTGGAGTTCTAATGAGAAGCCTAGTGGAAGACTAGTGGAGTTGAACCGTGTCTGTTGTGAGACAGTTAATGACTGAAGATAATCGTGGACGGTGTAAAAATATGATTGATTGACTGAAGTCAGACACTAACACGGTTGAATGTGGACTGATTGGTGTACGGGTTAAGCGTTCTCACGTGAGACTCTATGACATGGGTCTAGGTCCCAAATCAAGGATCATGGATGCTCATAACTCACCAGTCCCATACTAGAACGAAACGGTTATCCACTATTTCTAGCTTTTCAATTGTCGTCTAACATTTATCCACCATTCATGATATTAATGTAAAACCAACAATGTGCACAACCCTATACTGATAACTATGATGTGCTGACTAGTGACTAGGTTGAAGATAGATTTGATGGAGTTTTAGTGAGAAGCCATGACTAGTGGAGTTGTACCGTGTCTTATTTGAGATTTCCATCCTATAATTACTTTTTGTACTGTTTTGGATAGCATTAGTACAACCTTTTAAGCGGGATAGTTACTTTCAAACATAAAATGTCAAAGCTTATTTACATAACAAAACAAAAAATCATTTATTTCAGTAACGATTATTGATCATTTCGATAATCAACCATTTGTCAAATTTTTAATAGCTAAGATCATGAGTCAATTGAAGCCAGAACACCATAGAAAACCTGGAAGCACCGGACGGTCACTTTACCCTATGACCCTGCCTCCCGAGATTCAAACCCAGGACATATCAGTCTCACGTGCGTGAGCGCTAGACCGGCATCCATCGGTGTTATTCACAAAAATAGAACCCCTTCTGATATATTATTTTTTGTCAGATTGTCAGCTTTTAGCTATTCTGAACAAATATGATGCATCAATTTCTTCTCCTTCTTTTCTTTTTTGGTTACAGGCTGAATTTTATTCATTGAATAGAACAAATAAACAATATAATGATCCATATGTACAATCTAAAGTGTATATACCATTGATAATGTTGAATAATAATAATAACTATAGAAACAAATCGAAATTATCCCACTTATTCCCGCCAATAAATTTTAATAATTTAATACAATTTTACTTCATTCAATCTACATTGCAAATAAATCAAACTAATATTAACATACAATTGAATGATTCTATTGATGTATATTTTAAACATTCAACTATAAGTAAGTTCATCTTAGTTTCTAACAACTATAAGCTCTTTTCTTTTCAATAGTTGAAATCATGAGACGATTGAAGCTAGACCACCATGAAAAACCTGAATTCGAATCCCGCGGGGTGCGGGGTCATGGATGCGCACTACTGAGGAGTCCCATACTAGGACGAAACAGCCGTCCAATGCTTCCAAGTTTTTCATGGTTGTCTAGCTTCAATTGACTCATGATTTCAACTATTAAAATTACTAAAACCTTCACAAAACCCCTTCTTTTTTCTTTTCGTTAGTTGATTAGTAGAGAATTATCAGTTTTATAGAGATTATCTTTAACTATAGCACCTAAATGCCATGATACAGCCGAAAGTGAGGAGAGTCAGATCTTCCTCTCTAAATGCTATCTACATGGCCACGTACGTATGACCACTACCAGGGAAGTCCTACTCACTGTCTTCTCTCACCACGGGTGTTGTTTAGGAAATTAAGAAGACGGAAAGCGAACGTCCGGGTAGATGAACACGGAGAATCCACCTAGGAGAGTTGGAAAACTCTGATTCCAAACTAATAGTGTACATGGGCTCCAGGATCTTGACGGAACAAATGGCGTATGAACCTATTGTTGGTCATCGGCTACCATGGTCCTGCATCTTCTGACGTTTTTAATTGGATATGTCATTTGCTGATAAACAAAAGAATTTGTACTTTATCTTTATTTATGCTTAACACAGAATATGTTCATTTCATATTGTAAATATAGATTGAAATGCTTCACTATTACTTATTTGGTATTAAAAGTTATGGATAATGAGTTTAAGTTTTAGTGTGAATAGTTAACACTAGAATTTAAGTAGATCCAACTGATAAAACTCAGATCAAGCAAAGAACACACTCTAGAATCCTCTGATAGAAGTCTAAATTTTAATCATAGGATGAATCACTATTATGTTCACGAAAACCTGATATTTTCGTTGGACGATATGAATTATAAAATCTTTATTTTAGTTAGAATGAACTCAGAAAAGCAAGGCGAGAGCTCATGTGTCAGGGGGATTCAGATTCTCCTAACGAACTTTATGATCAATGTTCTGCAATAAAGAATAATTTATCTCCACCACATAGAACATGGAAGATGCAAAAACCATTACATATCTGGGCAGCATCATTAATGAACACGGAGGATCTGATGCAGATGTGAAGGCACTCATCGGCAAAGCAAGAGAAACATATCTACAACTGAAGAACATCTGGAACTCAAAACAATTGTCAACCAATACCAAGGTAAAAGTTTTCGTCACAAATACCAAAATAGTTCTACTGTATGAGGTGGAAACTTGGAGAACTACGAAACCCATCATCCAGAAGATACAAGTGTTTATTAACAGTTGTCTATGCAAAATATTTCGGATCTGTTGGCCAGATACTATCAGCAACAACCTACTATGGGAGAGAACAAATCAGATCCCAACAGAGGATGAAATGAAGAAGTGTTGGAAGTGGATAGGACACACATTGAGGAAAGCACCCAACTGCGTCACAAAGCAAGCCCTCACATGGAGTCCTCAAGGCCAAAGGAAAAGAGGAAGACCAAAGAACCTAATACGCCGGGAAATGGAGACAGATATGAGAAGAATAAACGATTATTTATTTTAACACATAGATATTGGTACAAGGAGGCACCAAATACACATGCGTCACACAAATCTCATTCGATGTGTGAAGGCTGTGATACTGCCTGGGTGCCCAAACCGAAGCAGGTGGTTATCTTAGGGGGCCACACCCCGAGCCTTCGACCTGGAGATCTAATCCACAAGGCAGTGGAGCATCGTAAGGAGATGCAGTCCCATGGAAGCCGGTGACCAACGAGTGGTTCATACGGCATTTGTTCCCTCAGGATACTGGAGCCGATGTGCACCATTGGTTTGGAATCCAGTTAAAGCGCCGGACATTCGCTTTTCGTCCTCTCATTTTTGTAAACAATACCCCCGCTACGAGAATGTAATGAGTAGGACTTCCCTGGCAGAGGCTATATACGCATTTCGAGAGGGAGAGCGGACTCTCCCCACTCTCGGCCATACCAGGGGATTTGGGGGCGGAACTATTAAGGAGGGCCCAGGATAGTGGGGGTTGGAGGATTCTGGTCGGTGGCTTATACTCTATTGGGGGTAACCGGCATAAGTAAATAAGTAACTACATAAAACTGTCAGCTGATATTAGTGATGGTATTTACTGCGTGGATTTTAAATTGTCTTAAACAATGAAATTTACTGAAAGAAGTTGGCTTCCAATTCTCATAAGACATCGGATAACCGATAAAAATCATATTCATTTCCTAATACCATTTCTAACTGTTTTATATTACAGATGTGAACAGATCACTAGAATATATCTGGATTAAATATATATTGGGAATTTCCATTTTCACTTTAATGTGTCAAATAATAACATTTTCATTCAAACATTTGAAGAAATGCTACACAAAATACAAACTTGTCAATCATAGAAATCCGTTTATAATGACAGCGGTTACAAGTAAGCATGTTAATTTTGTTTTAAAATGTTTGCTACTTATAAGTAGTACGAATAATTTTTCATACACATAGTTTACTTTATTATCTGAAAGGGAGCAAGAACAAAGATTAGTGCAGAACAATCAATGGATTCATTTTATTTCATTAGGTTCTCATTAGCTGCTTACAACCTAAATTATTTAAAATTCAACATCATTACAGATATTGACATATTTATACATAGGAGTGTGATTAAGGATGAATACATGTGTATCTGTTATGGTTCGTCATTGCTTGAATGCTATTACTGATGCGTCTTACTCGAACGAACGAAGGATCAATGATTCAGCGACTCGATAGCTATCCTGGTTCGTTGTCCCCGGCTCAGCTAACCCGATCAAGAAGTCTGGGTAAGGTGTAGAAAGTGTATTCTACAGACAAACAGCAGGTAACAAGTCAAATCAAACACATAAATCAAGCGTATTTATACAAATATTTACAATCGATATCGTCATGGAAAATTTTTAAACATTAATCAACGAGTTCATTAATTGACCTATTTGCGCATTTAATCGATAGTTCATCAATTGACCCCAATAAAAATATCTAACATTTAATCGATAAGATGATCGATAAGATAAAATTTAAAAATATGAGTCTGGGGATCGATCGTCCTCAACAGTATCATGATGTAGGGAAGATTCAGATAGAGTTAATGAGCTCATAAAATGTTTGATTCGAATAAATAAATAAAGTTTGAGAGGGAAAGTTCTGGAACATTGAAATAGTGATTAGAACTCATGTAAATAGATTAATGGTAATAAAGAAAATATGAATTGAAATCAATCATTAATGTATGATGTAATTTGAAAGAGTTAGAGTAATGACGCAATAAATAAATAGAGAAATAAATGAATAAAAGGGGATTATTGTTACCAGGGTAAAGAAAGATTTATTACTGTCTCTTTTTGTATACATAGATCTGGTTTTAAACGTTTGACTGCTATTGCTTCAGCAAATTTCAAAAGGTTGGAGTTTGATTGTTTGTTAATCACCTTGAAGGACGTCAGTATATCAACTTCATGTCCTGTATCAAGGAGATGTCTTGCAATGGCACTGTTGAATGTGTTCAATCCATTTAATCTTAAACTTTTCGGAATATGCTTTTGGGCGTCCATTACCATCTATAACATAAAGTGTAGTACAGGGAAGAGCTAATCAGAACCGAAAACTCAGCTTTTGCACGATGATCACTCACTACGAACAACTCGGATATGTTTGTATGATGCTCAAAATGTTTCACATGATAGAGGAAATTACTTTTTGTCTCCACAGAGTAAACAGTATGACGTTAAACGCAACAAACGTCCAATTACGTTGATGTAGATCATATATGACTGGCTAATCAACTCTATCCCTAAATTTCAACACTAAACCTACACTCCTGGTTGTACTATGCTTTATGGGCGAACTGATAATACAGCATCTTTTGTATTTTTTTAGCGGAATTCGTTCATCCATATGCTTACAGATAACCTTTGCATTCAACATGATTTAGTTTATGATGGTAACCCCAATCCTAAATAGGAACAATCTGGGACTCTTCCACATCAATTGCTGCTCTTATAATGGTTCAGGAAAACAGGTTTTCTACATCCGTAACGAATGATTTTCTCACAAACTTTGCATTTACAATAGCTAGTTTATGACTGACTAGGAACTAGTGTAAAAAAATAATCACAATTGTTTCAAGCTTATCTGCATCATGTTCTCTTGACAATTTCATTTTTTGTGAACTTCAGACAACGAATAATATTTCAGTATACTACAGAAACCTTACCCAACATATAAGTCGATACCTTGAATTAGTTGTATTGTACCAGTTATGTAATCACATCACTGATAAGTTACAATATTTTCTCAGAAATTTTGTAAATAATAAAATTAAGTAGAACCACGTATTCTTGTAGGACCTTGAAGGCTTTTTCATTTCACAATAAAAGTAATTCACACTTACTTGTATAAAGTATACAGTTAACAATATTCTCAAAATAATGTGTAAAAGTGTGCACCACATAAATTATTCGGTTTGTGTGAGGACTAGGATACTGCCCGGGTACCCAAACTGAAGCAATGGTTTTCTCAGGAGGTCACACCCGGAACCTTTGACCTTAAGGTATAGTCCACAAGGCAGTGGACGAACGTCAGGAGATGTGGTCCTATGGTAGCCGTTTCATACGCCATTTGTTCTCTCAGGATACTGGAGCACATGTCCACCATTAGTTTGGAATCAGGGTTTTCCAACTCTCGTAGATGAATTCTTCGTGTTCATCAACCCGGTTAAAGTGCCATACATTCGCTTTTCGTTCTCTCGATCACATAAACAACACCCGTAGTGCGAGAAGGCAATGATTAGGACTTTCCTGGTAGTGGTTGTATGCACGTGTCCATGTGAGAGCATTTCGAGATGGAGGGAGCAAACTCTCCCCACTGTTGGCTGTACCAGGGCATTTTGGGGCGCTATACTTCACTAGCAAGGATTATTCAAATCCTCAATGTGTAGTAAAATATCGAACAATAATCCCTAAGCGCTGAGAATTGAAGACAATTAAATGAAATTATGTTAAGCAATGAATTGTTCAAAATATTCATTTATCATGTTATACCCTTGTAGTCAGTTGACAGACGTCATAAAGATTTATAAACTGGATTTGATACTCACTGTCGATTAGGTTAACACTAAAATATTCAAGCTGAAAATAGTTACTTATGAGTGAGTGATGTGGATCTAAACAATCCATCGAGTCTATAATTTATGAACGTACCAATCACGCATAAGACAACAGATCTTGTATTTTTGGCGTGAAATTCACTCATCTATTTGATTAAATAGAGTTTTAGCATTATAGCTGATATCAATTCATGATGAAAACCCTAAATCAAACTTATAACCTTAATCATCAACTGTAAATCATAATTGTAATTTCTCATACTGGTTTATAACCCTCATATGGTTGTAGTTATTAGGTGGACACTTTCAAGATCACCTTAGAGTCGCTCAAAGGTTGTCGTTGGGGGAAAATAAAGTACTTATTCATAATAAATCATATATTTATTAGTTAACAAAATTAACAAATAAGTGCCTATTTTGTTATTTTCCACTTTCCTCCCCCCCCCTTAGACGAAGTTCAACAGTCTGTGAATAGAGATGTAAACTCTAAACAAATTTGTCACAATGATTATCATGTTGAAAATAGATGTGAATTACATAATACTAATGTCATAATGAATGATAATAGATTAAATAAAGAAATAAAAGATATAGAATGTGATAGAATTGAACATAATCCACTTGATCATCAACAACAAACTAGTCATTCAATGACATGTTTATTAATTTATCCATCTAACAAATCAAATCAATGTCGTCTCTTATTTAATAATAACCATAATAATACATTACATTATACTAATTCATGTCTTCCATCACCTATTCATTGCCAATACAATCAAAATCATCTATCAAAGTTTAAGATTGATTCATGTGTAAAATCAAAAAATATCAACTTACCACAACGTATAAGTAAATCAACATTGAATATTGCTACTAATCATCAAATGAAATTATCAACAGAACAATTAACATTGAATGAATATGATAAAATGAATCAAGTAAATGATAAAAATCTGCCGCTTTTCAATAATTGTACACATAGAAATGTATTTTTACCAACTTGTTATCATAATGATTGTTTAAAACAAAAATATGGTTATTGTACAGTATATCATAGTTTAAAGAATCAAGATTATAAAGATGGTTGGGTTTAAGCTCTACTTTTCTTGTTTATATTGATGAAGATGTGGGGATACTTTTTAATCGAAACTATAGAGGAGAATTGAGTCTATACTTTGTATGAGGTTTTAAACGACTTGGATTAGATGCTTCGACAGAAATGCCACCAGGTGCTGTATTCCAGACAAATCTTGTATAGGCTAACTGTGAAGTGTACTGTTAACTGAAAATGTTTTGATAGTTAAGCTCGTAGCTTGTGTTGTAGCTGCTTGCATTACTGTAAAATTGTGAAGTAATTTCTGTATAATATCGGAAGTCGTGATGACTGTCTTTGTAAACTGGCGTAAACTAAAAAGGTAAAAGATTACTTGATTTTGATTTTAAGTACGAATACACACAGCAAAAGCGTGCCCTATCGAAACGTGCATTTTTATTTTCGTAGTTTGAAGCAAAAGGTGTCAGAAATGTCACCACTTGGCCGGAGCAGGGAGGCACAATCCGACTCACACTTCCGCGTCCTGCCTCCTGGATAGTGAGACGAATGTCTCATGAACCAACTTGAGCGGTAACCCGGGTGGTGGAGATCGGGCTAATCACCCACTCAACCTATACCCACAACCTGATTACGAAAACTACAGAGAATCATTGCACAATTATTAATGGTCCAAAAAAGACAATGAAATTCACAAAAACTAAAACTTGGTTTATGGAATGTCCGGGGTTGCTCTCAAGAGGGTAAGCTCCAAGTGATTGCAGAACAAGTTATCGAACGTAAGTACCACATAGCAATGATTACTGAAACGAGGATGGTCTCCAAAACCATCAAAATAGACAAAAACACCACTTTCCTCAACTCTAATCCTGACATAAATGACTACCGGAACACCGGTGTCGGCTTCATCATTAATAACCAGTCAATGGTTTCTGCCACCAACTTTAAGGAGATAAATGGTAGAATAGCTACCATTAAAATACATAGCAAAATCACTAACCAGACTATCAACCTCATTGGTTGTTATGCGCCAACTGAGTCTTCGAATGACGATATCAGTAAAGAAATTCCTATCTTAAACTGAACAGCACAATTAAGAAACTTAAACTAAATAAACTTTCCATAATCATACTAGGTGACTTCAACTGTAGGCTAGGCCTGGACCTTCAAGCTTACTACCCTAGTATCGTAGGGAAACCTATCAAGCTTGAACCAGAGTCATCAACAAATAGCATGAGACTAATAAACCTATGCGAAACATCAAGTCTGCGAGTAGTGAATACCTTCAGTACTAAACCAGCTCATAAGACGTCCACCTAAGTACATCCCAAGACCTAAACGGAACATATGATAGAAAGAGCAATCATACAAGCAGCTAACAAAGCTGCAATCCCACAAGTCGGTCACTAAAAGATGGTAACACAGCATAAGTGATCTCTTAAAAAAGAGATAAAGCATAGAACAATATGATTAAGTTAGCAAAAGATCAATATATCAAAGGGTAGTAAGCTTGAAGGTCAAAATAAAAACTGCGATAGAATGTTCGCAACAATAAAAGAAATGAATAGACATTATAGAAACGATCATCAAATTAAACTTAGTACAGGCTTACCTCACAAATGTCCAATAAATGACTGTAACAAAACGTTCAAAACTTTGGGCTGACTTAATAAACACATTCAGTCGTGTCACCCACATCAAAAATCACCAGTAAAAGAAACTAAAATCCAATTAACTAAAAATAATTCCATAAATAATGTAAACAAATATCCATACCCTGACTGTATTAAAAGTCTCCCAACTAAGAAAGGTATAACCAATCACTGCTATGTAGTACATAGATGGTCAGCAATTGCCGGAAAGGAAGTAAAACAAAAGACAAAACAACCTGCAAAAATAACTATTAAGCCCCGGTAGTTGTGCCGTGCTTCGATGTAGCCTCTTCTCCAGAAGGGCCTATTAGGCTTCACCATTTTGTTTGGCTGGAAGGGGCACCACAGGGTCCGACAAAACTACCGGAGTTCAATAGTTGTTTTCGGGAGGTAAAATCCGACTCACACGTCCGCGCCGTGCCTCCTGGATAACGGGGCTTATTCCCATTAACTAACGTGAGCGGTAACCCGGGTGGTAGATATCGGGCTAATCACCCACTCTATCCATATCCATTCACTGATTACAAATCCTACAATGAAACAATGTATCTCTATCTTTGGTTCAAAAAAAACAAAAAAATCCCTGAAACTTCCAAAAACTAAAACTTGGCTTATGGAACGTCCGTGGTTGCTCACAGGAAAGTAAATTAGACCAAATTGCTAGTCAAATAACTGAACGTCAGTACCACCTAGCAGTGATTACTGAAACCAGAATGCCAAGCAAAATGTTAGAAATGGATGAAAACACAACTGTGTTCAACTGCAACCCAGATATAAACAATCACAAAAACACTGGTGTCGCCTTCATCATCAATAATCACACAAACATCACATCTCACTTCAATGAAATAAAAGGCAGAATTGCAACAATAATGATCCACTTCAAATCAATGAATCAATCCTTCAACTTTATTGGATGCTATTCCCCCACAGAAACTTCAGATGATGACAATCAAAAAGATAACTTCTACATCTCACTAAAACGAACAATCATGAACATTAAACAAAACAGACTACCAATAGTACTAATGGGTGACTTCAACTGCAGATTAAGCCAAGAATTACACACAATGTATACTCACATTATTGGCAAAGCAATCAAACTAGAAGAAGACACCTCACCAAATGGTATCAGATTAATCAACCTTTGCCAATCAACGTGACTAAAAATTATGAACACCTTCATACAAAAACCACAAAGCAAATCCATCACATGGATGCACCCGAACACAAATGATACTCATACCATCGATCTAATTCTACTAGATAACAAACCCAATCAAAATATCACAATATGCGACATACATAACTCCCGATCAATGGACGCCAACTCAGATCACTTCATGCTCACCACAATAATTAAACTCCAACACAAAAAGAGAAACAAGAAACACAAACACAAGCATACATACAAAAAACGCGCACAAAATAACACATGAAATGCTATTCAATCCATATCCTCTGATTACCCTAAAATATTAACAAATCTAATAAATGAAGCAAATGATTTGGCACAAATAGAAGAGGCCATTATGCATGCTGCAACAATATCTGCAAACCCCCGAAAATCAACAACTAAAAGATGGCAAACACAGATCAGTGAGGACCTAAAGGAAAAGATCAAACATAGAAAGCAACTAAGACTTCAATGGCTAAACAATCCAACTGTAGAAAACAAAAACAAATATAATCAAGCAAACAAACTAGTAAAACTTAAAATAAAATCAGCCAAAGAAGACTACATTCAAAAGAAAACTAAGGAAATGAATGCCTTCTTCGAACAAAATGATCTACACTCAGCGTATAAAATGCTTGACGACATATTAGCCACAATAAGAAATCAAATATATAAACAGCGAAGAAGCCAAATAAAAAGCAAAACACTTCAATAACATTACCAAAATCTGTTTCAATCAACAACACTAAACCTAGAATCCTCGAACATGAATCAATTCAATGAACCTCCTCTAACAAAACCTGAACTTGAAATAGTCATCAAGAACCTAAAAAATAACAAAAACCCCGGTAACAATGGCATAACCAATGAGATGATCAAACATGGTGGGGAGAAACTACAAAACATCCTATTAAACATCATGAACAAATTCTGGACAAATCCAAACGAAATCTCAAATCACTGGTTAAACGCTAATGTAATAAGCATATACAAAAACAAAGGATTGAAATCAGATCCAAATAACTACAGAAGCATCTTCCTACTCGACACACTGAGCAAAATATTCTCCGGAATGATCTGCAACAGACTAGTACAACAAACAGATAATCAAATTCCGCCAACACAATTTGGCTTCAGAAAACATTTAACTACCAGTCATGCAATTACTACAATCAGACATGTAATCCAATGTGCTCTTGATTCACAGAAAGCACTGATCATCATTGTAGACCGAACGAAAGCCTTTGATACCTTGTAGATTCAAGTTTTACTTTCGTTGGATGCCTGTGCCAGTTTGTCGATAGTTTGTCTTTCATTTCATTAATGTCTTGAGTTAATTGTCTGATCCAGCTTTTTGTGTGTGCATTACGGTGTTTTGATGGGTTTTCTATGTGTCTTGTTTATGTTTTGGTCATTATGTTATTTGATCTTTTATTTGCCGTATACCATAGGTTAAGTCGATTCTGCATAATTTTCGTCGCAATGTTAGGGAGTTGTATTTTTTTGTGTAGTTGTTCTATGTTAAGTTCCTTTCTGTCTTTGATGTTTAGGATTATACGTCATGTTGTGTTGAGGACGGCTCCTAGTCTAGACCAGTCTTTCTTTCTTAGGACTATGGAATCTAAACTGTATGTGAGATGCGGAATTACTAGTGTATTGATTAACTTTGTTTTTGTTGACAAATTGAGTTTTGTTGGTTTTTAAGATAGGTGATGTTTTGATTAGAGCATTCTTTGACTTGGCTATGTTGTGTGTAATTGTATTGTCTGCTGATCCTTTGTGGTTTAATATTGAGCCGAGATAGAAGGAATCGGTAACTTCTATTTGTTTGTTTTCAATGGTTATTGGACTTAGGTTATCATGCTTGTTTATTACCATGGATTGTGTTGGCGGAATTTGATTATCTGTTTGTTGTACTAGTCTGTTGCAGATCATTCCGGAGAATATTTTGCTCAGTGTGTCGAGTAGGAAGATGCTTCTGTAGTTATTTGGATCTGATTTCAATCCTTTGTTTTTGTATATGCTTATTACATTAGCGTTTAACCAGTGATTTGAGATTTCGTTTGGATTTGTCCAGAATTTGTTCATGATGTTTAATAGGATGTTTTGTAGTTTCTCCCCACCATGTTTGATCATCTCATTGGTTATGCCATTGTTACCGGGGTTTTTGTTATTTTTTAGGTTCTTGATGACTATTTCAAGTTCAGGTTTTGT